AATATAAATAAAAGTCTTTAATACCACGAAAACGTTGCGTAAAAATGGGAATTATTTATATATAAACATATCGAAAAATAAAAATTTACGCTTATCTTCGCCGGTTTTTTTAGTTTTTATTACATGGTAATAAAAATTGATATAAAAAGGCAAAGTGTACGAGGGTTTGTGCATCGCCGGTAAATAAGAAAAATAGTGCCTCGAAAAAAAGAAAATGGTTGGCACACACACAGCTAAGTTGAATATGACTTCAGGTACTCTGGGAACCTGACGGTTCGACCTGATCGTGTTTTTTGTTGCGCCGATGGTTGTTGCAGCTGTGCATTACCAGGCACATCGTCGAGAATTTCGATAATTGAGTCATCCGTCGGTCGGATGTAGCGAGCTGAAACGTCACTTACAATGGGGTTGCCTTCGAAATAAGCTGGTTTCAAACGGTCGATACTGACAGTATCTTCACGTCCGTCTCGCTCAATTATATAGAATTTCTCATGTCGCTTAATCACTTTGAACGGCCCGTCGTAGGGTGGTTCAAGTGGTCGACGAACAGCGTCGTGGCGAACAAACACGTGTGATGTCTTCTGTAAACTGGGGTGGACGAAAACATCAGTCGTTTGCGGTCTAATCGGAGAAGGCCTAACTGAACGCATTGCGTTTGTAAGCCTAGTCACGTAAGATGCCCTGTCGGAAACATGTTTGAAAGTTGAAGGGGAAACAAACTCACCTGGTAGGCGAAGAGTGGTCCCATAGACGAGTTCTGCAGGAGTGCATCCAGCATCAACTTTCAACGCGTTACGAATACCTAGTAGGACTAGAGGCAGAGCCTCGGTCCACTGAGGTATGTTTGTAGCTGAAAGGGAAGCTTTCAGCTGTCGATGGAAACGCTCTACCATGCCATTTGCTTGTGGATGGAACCGAGTGCAACCTAAAAGTGCCGTTAGAGCGTGAAATAGTCCACACTCAAATTGGCGCCCACGGTCGGTTGTGACGTAGATGGACATCCGAAGTTCGCGATCCATCTTTCGACGAAAACACGAGCAACTGTTTCGGCAGTAATATCTTTAATGGGTACTGCTTCCGGCCATCGTGTGAAACGATCAACACAGTGAAAAGGTAGGTACATCCATTAGATTCTGGTAGGGGTCCTACAATATCTATATGGACGTGGTCGAAACGCATGTCTGGGGCTAGAAATGAGCCTAAAGGGCTTTTCGTGTGTCGCGTGACTTTACACTTTTGACAAGCTAAGCACGACTGGGCCCACTCCTTAACGTCTTTGTTCATCCCAGGCCAGCAGAAACGTTGTGCGATAAGCCTAATGGTGGCTCGTACACCTGGATGAGAGAGTTTGTGCAACGTATTGAAGACGTTGCGTCGACAACTCTTCGGAACTATTGGGCGTGGTTGACTAGCAGAGACATCGCACAAAATTGCATCCTTGTCTGATCCAACAGGACAAAGTCGCAGTTTGAGAGTTGTGGACGACAACTCATGATGCAGCTCAAGGTCTTCCTTTTGACGCCGAGCTAGTTCAACGAGATCAATACCCTCGATATAGTTTATCGAAGCTATTCGAGATAGTGCGTCGGCTGCGGAGTTGTTTGCTCCAGAAATGTGGCGGATGTCTGACGTGAACTGGGAAATGTAATCCAGCTGTCGCGACTCACGAGGGGAGTATTTGTCAGACGCCGAGCTGAGGGAAAACGTTAACGGTTTGTGGTCTGTGAAAATAATGAAATCACGACCTTCCACAGAATGTCGAAAATGGCGTACAGAACAGTACATGGCTAGGAGTTCCCTACCAAATGTACTGTATCTTGTTTCCGCGTCTTGCAGCCGCCTCGAGAAAAAGGCTAACGGTTGCCACTGGTTGTCAGTCAACTGTTGCAAAACTGCTCCAATTGCTGAATCAGATGCATCAACAGCAATACTCAGAGGAGCATTGGGGTCATGATGCATAAGCATGGTTGCGTTCGAAATGGCTTCCTTGACTTTAGAGAAAGCAAGTCTAGCCGCGTTGTCCAGAGACACGAACTTCGCAGTTCCTCGAAGTAGATCTGTGAGTGGTCTCATGACAGAGGCACAGTTAGGGATAAACCTTCGGTAATAACTTACCAGGCCATTGAAAGTGCGGAGATGTTTCACAGTGGTCGGCTCTGGATAGTTTGTGATAGCCGCCACTTTATCTCTCAATGGGCGTATACCTTTGTTGTCAATGGTATGCCCAAGGAAGCTGAGTGATTCAACTCCTATTTCACACTTCTGTAAGTTAACTGTGATGCCATGTTTTTTAAGTCTTTCGAATGCGAGGTCCAAATGTTTAAGGTGTGTTTCCTTATCTGGACTCGCAATTAGACAGTCATCGATGTAGACATGAACAAAATTCAGACCACGGAAGACGTCGTCCATAAAGCGTTGGAATGTTTGTGCTGCATTCCGAAGACCAAAAGGCATGCGCAGGAATTCAAACAGGCCAAAAGGAGTAATAATGGCTGTTTTCGCGATATCTTCTGCTGCCATAGGTATCTGGTTGTACGCTTTGACCAAGTCGATTTTCGAGAAAATGTTCATGCCGCATAAGGTTGCGGTCAAGTCGTAAACGTGGGTATAGGGTAGCAGTCCGGAGTTGTTTTGGCGTTAAGCCTTCGGTAATCACCGGTCGGACGCCAGTCGTTGCTATCCTTTTTGGGACCATGTGCAATGGCGATGCCCAAGGACTGTTTGACGGTCTGATAATGCCCAGTTCGAGCATGTGGTCGAATTCATTTTTCGCCGTTTGCAGCTTATCGGGGGCTAAACGGCGCGCTTTGGATGCCACAGGTGGACCTGTGGTTGTGACGTGATGCATAACATTGCTGGTTATGCACGGAAGAGTGTGTTTCGGTTGTTGTAACTCTGGATATTTCTCCAGAACTGCCTGGTAGGACGCGTCGCCTGATTGTTTAGTCCTAACGATGGCTAAACTCGGACCTACATAGGTGGTGCCGCCAATAGATAACTTTGTGTTGTTATCTATCAGTCGTCGACGGCGAGCATCTACGAGTAGATCGTAATGGTTTAGCAAATCTATGCCAATGATGGGCATAGAGACGTCTGCCAGGAGGAAATCCAGTGAATAGGTTTGCGTAAACCTAAGTTGAGGTAGGCATACTGCCTCCCGAATGTCGCGATTGCCTTGCCGTTGGCTGCTTGAAGATTGAAGGATGGGTCGAGATGACGCTCCTTTGTCGTTGCTGGAAGAACGCTAACTTCTGCGCCGGTGTCGACGAGGTAGCGGACTTTCGTTTTAATGTCGGTGACGTAGAGCAAACGGCTTTTTCCGCCGGCTACGGTTGCCGTGAGCACGTGCCGGCGTGACCGTTTCCCGAGTTTGTGTCCTTCTTAAAACGGCATGGTTTACGACATTTTCTGGCTTCATCCCCGTAAGTGTTATGAAACCAGCACCATTCAGGGTTTTCCACCCTGTTGGGTTTCGTTTTAGGGCTACCACGCGACTTGCTGCGATGCGCCAAGGTGCGTTTCTGTGAAGTGCTACGTGATCTAGGACTTCGAGATCGTAGCAACCGTTTCACAGAGTTGCACAACTTGGTCACCTCCGAATCCTGGCGCTCTGTTTTGTCGCAGATAGAATATACGTTGGAGACGGGTCTGCTGGATATCTCCAGTATTTTATCTGCTGAGGCTGCCAGGTCGTCGAGTGGGACTGACTGCAGTGTCACCAACACGGTTTGCACCGGTTGTGGTAGTTTCGAGAGAAATAGTTCTCGGAAGAAACCATCGTCAAATGTTCGTGCACCGATTACTTCTCGCATGCGTGCGAGGACTTCAGTAGCTGAGTGGCTGCCTAGCTCGATGTTACGAAGCAATTCGTCTAGACGTTGGCGATCTGTGAGATCGCTTTTCTTCAAGAGTGCGGCCTTTAGAAGTGCATAAGGGTCACTTACTTCAGGATTAAACATGTTTGCTGTAACATACCTGTTTAATTCTCGCGGTAGTGAACGTATGACAGCAAGAAATCGAGAATGAGGATCTGAGACACCCTGTTCTCGAAAATCGGCCTCGGCATACAGAAACCATGTTTCTGCATTGTCTGGCCAATATGGCACGAGTTGGATCGTGTTCGAGTCGGCTTAATACGAATAAGCTTGGGAGTGTGGTCGGACATGAGAAAGTGTAGTAAATGGATATATAAATGTTATCGAAATGAAAACAATAAACAAATATAAAATGGAACAGGCTCACCAATTCAATACTTGTTATTGGTCGGGATATGTGATCACGTCGGGATATTTGATCACGTCGGGCTCACCAATTTAGGATTTGTCCTGGTGCGAACTTGACAGACGCAAAGACCAATCACTAATTATTCGAACTTGTTATATACCCACGAATACGAGACCAAGGAAGAACACGATAGCGTAGTCGGATGGAATAGTATATTTGGATGGTTATGCCAAAATACCGATGCGTTCCAACTAACTGGCTAGAGAGTCGAATACGAGCAATGCAACGTAACACGACAGCGTGCCAAATGGCGAGGATGCTTGACCGGGTGCCTTCAGCTTAGCGAGTCCAGTTAAACTATCAAGGTCAGCATCAATGTCGAAGTCGTCAAACCCTAGGCTATTGATTTTTGGGAAGTGTATGAGGCTCCGAACTTATTCTGGAGCTTACCAGGTTAGATATCGAACAAATCTTTATTTCTTACGAGGCGTTAAACCCCGAATAGCTTTTTCCGCAGAAAGGATCAAGTCCACTTTGTCTGGATCCTTTCAACGCCAACTTGATACTTATTTGTCTTGTGGCTGATATGCACCCAGAACTTATTGAATTTTCGCACTTCAACTGCCACTTTTTCCTCTTTCTTCACTTGTGCGCAGGTTATTAACGACAAAATGTAGTGACCAATGGATTTTAAACGCAGAAGCCAGTTACGCGAAAGCTTCTTCGATTCCGCCAGCAACCATTTGAACCACAGTCTTTTAACATGTTCAAGTGATGCTTTCTTTGAGTCTCACTTTAGGCTCACATTATTTACGCTTAAGAAAGCGAAAACTCGCGGACTACTACTTGTAGACATAGTGGCTACATAAGCCATAGCGTTTTCATTTCAGCAGTATGCATTTTTAATTATGAATGACGACGTTGAATTGGCAATTGAATATCTTTGCCGACAGCAGTTTGAAAATAGTTTCGGTTTACCGTACGGTCAAATATGCAGGGTGTTGCTGCTTCAGTTACGGACACTCTTGGGAATATTAAGTAATTTTTACATCCATCTAACTCAAAAATTAGGCCATGGCTTCAGAAAGTTACGGCACAATCAAAGCCAACTGATGCCAGATACTTCACTACAACGAAAAAAGGTAACAATATGGTGCAAATAAGTATCTTCCAGGCGAAATATTTGAGCTAAAAGCTGAATTAAATAGCGAAAGAAGAGAAAAGAAAAAAGAAGCAGTCAAAAAAGTAATAGCTAGTATGACTGTAGGAAAGGATGTCAGGTAACCTTACGAAGATTTGTCCTTGTATTCTTTAGTGCTCTGTTTCCGGATGTAATTAATTGTATGCAGACCGATAATTTGGAACTTAAAAAGCTTGTGTACCTCTACCTCATGAATTATGCTAAAACTCAGCCCGATACTGCCATTATGGCTGTTAACACGTTCGTGAAGGTAAGAATGTCAGTTAGATGCATTTCCGATTCAGGACTGTGATGACCCAAACCCTCTTATCAGGGCGCTTGCTGTGCGGACAATGGGATGCATACGTGTGGAGAAAATAACCGCTTATCTTTGTGATCCACTTCGCAAATGTCTGAAAGACGAGGATCCGTACGTTCGCAAGACGGCTGCAGTTTGTGTAGCTAAGTTGCATGATATAGATGCACAATTAGTGGAAGACAGTGGGTTCCTCGAACTCCTTAGGGACTTATTGTGTGACAGCAACCCCATGGTTGTTGCAAATGCTGTCGCATCTATAACGGAAATTCTAGAAATGACAAATTCAGATGCAGCCAGGTCTTTACTTTCCTTCGATGGACCTGTAATTAACAAGCTATTAACAGCGCTCAATGAATGCACTGAGTAAGTGGTTCAGTTAATACGAAATTGTGCAACCATGTGGCTTTCCGCAGTTCATAATAAACAAGTTTTTGACCCAGTGTAAATTGTCGTGTAAAGGTGCTCGGTATTTCGTCTTTATTTTAGCATTGGATTCGTCACGCTATTGCGTTAGTTATTTTGAAGTAGCCGTCATAGATCAACTCTTGTTGTCACACAAAAACAGTAGTTTTCGGGTACTTATTTTCTGATTGATTGTAGTTGAAATCAGTGCTCACAGCCTATCCAGTTAGTTGCGTCATGATGCTGCACCTGCATAAGAACAGTTCTCACGTTTTTTTCTGCATGGGATGTTACTTCCATACTAGTCGTTCCACGAAGAATATCTATTCTCTGTGATTATTTCTACTTGGTTTTTGGTCTGTCGACTGATTATTGGTCTCATCTGACTGTTGATTTTATCTCAGCGTCTATCATGGACTTGCTTATTTTTGTGGAGAAACTAAAATACCATGCAGTCATCTATTTTTTAGTTTTGTGCGACTAAACACGTCTGTGTATTGTTTACTGGAGGTTGATCACATGGTAATTTCGAGGAGATGAGTGACAAGAACTGGGAAGTAACCACATCTTGTTTAGATTTTAGAAGTTGGAGGTAATTAATTATGACACGTTTAATATTGGAGGACTGGCATTAAGGAATTGACTAATTCCTTATGGTGGATCAACTCCTATTTTTGAATCCATCCCAAGTTAATGTTTATTCGTGAAACGGGGTAGCTGCTTAACTAGACACATTTTTTGATTACTAAACAGGACTAATCTAGTGTACTTCAAGAAGAATGGTGGCATATTTTGTTATGTGGGTTATTTCGTGATAACCTACTTGAGCTCCAGTTCAAATGGTTGATGGAGTGTGTTTGGTGGCTCATCTGCACCTTTATGTCGAAATCCATCCGAGATTGTAGGTCATAAACCTGCAATCATCTGGATGGCACCTGTATACTGTGCACTTTACTACTGTTAACAATGATTTAGCCTATATCAGGGATATCCACTTTTGTAAAACTTCATAGTGGGCAGTAAAGAGTAGGTTATTCTGTTGTGCTAATATATTGTCTGTGGAAATAAAGTACAACGATATTAAATGCAGACTGCATTTCCATGTAATAACTGGATAGTACAGTTACCGAGTTTATTGTTAGTATTAAGTCTTATAGGTTTTCCGGTGACTCTTCGCTGAAAAGTTTTCAATCCTTGTTTTTCCTGCAACTTAAGGATTTTGAAAGATGTTTTAGATTGTAATAGTTACTATATGAAACATGATATTTTAATCAGGTTACTTTAAATAAAGTCAAATATATTTACCAAGCGTACTAGTTTATTGTAGATGTGTCCCATTAACTTAAACACTTTCACGTTATGGGTCCTGGGTTCAAATCTTATTCTACCTACTTTGACCTGGACAACTGGTTAGTCTTATAGGCCCTCACGATGGCGATTCATCAACCAATTAGCATAGGCACAATCGTTAGAAGTGTAGTTTTTATACTTTTGATTGCAAGACAAAGCTTATATCTTGAGGCCTTATTAACTATAGAGCTGTGATTCACTGGTTTGGGTAGGTAACTTTCAACCAATGGGTCACGCGTTCAAGCCCCGCTCCACCCACCGTTTGGGTGGCCAAATAGTATCATTAGCCCTCACACAATATGTGTGGCTCATTACCTACTGCACAAATGTGCACAAGGTTAATGAGTCCATTTCAAATTCCATTTTCAACTACAGAAGTAAACTTAGTAGTCTGTACAACAGTCTGTAAATGGGTATGTCGCAAATACTATATAATATACTGTAAAATAAAATTTTATCTTATGATGGGGACTACACAAAAAAGATCTTAGACTTGTAATTAGCTATTTCTTGAAAATATCCTGAGTTAATGAATGTCACTAAAACAGAATTGACTTGTCCGAAGTACGAGTCACAGACTTGGTTTCACGTTACTTACACATTTGAATTAGTAAGTACTTGTTGTGGCGGTGTACTAAATGTAATAAAGGTCAACATTAATGTATAACACCTTGGAATACTGTAAATGTAACCCCATATTTTTCAAACGAAGCTTTTGTTTACTGTTGAAGCAGTCATAAAATCTTTTAATCAGCCATAGCAGTTGAATAAGCCCTATTTAGTAACAATCTCGTATACCAACATAGACGAAGCAAACAGTATGTACGGATACAATTTGGGCAAGTTTTTCGAATAGTTTCATTTTTACTAGCTATCTTTAAAATTTAATTTTTTGATTCTCAACCACCGGGTCACAGATAAAATCTATCCCACTCTCTTTGTTCTAAAATAGCAGTCTATTCGGCATTTTTGTTACTGCAATAATCTGTGCAACTTTTATTAGAATTCCTAAAACTAATTCTGCTTAAATAATTAGCATATTAAAAAATATTTCAAAATGGTTTGAAGTTATGAACATGGCCGTAGTACTGATACGTTTCGTATTTGGCTAGTTAGCCAACAGCTGGAACTAAAACATTCAGTAAGTACTTCACAACTGTGTTTTGAAATGTATGGTGTGTTAACGAAGTACGTTTTGAAGTCTGGTCGCACAAATCATATATTTTCATATGAATTATCAGAAAAAGTAAGTGGGTTGAAAAAATAATCAATGTAATAAAGGGTCAATTCGTCAGTTCAGAGGTTAAATAATAGATGAGAAGATAATGTATTACACTAATCACCCTTGATATCGCAGCTGAATCACCAAGCGAGGTTTACCGATCCTACCGGACCGATGGTGTGACCATTGGAAGTCCTTTAGGTCGCTTTCTAGCAGATAACGTCGAAACTGTTTGAAAATCTGATTGCAAAAGTTCCTTTCTTTAATAGGAAAGTTGACAACATTATTGAGTGTGATAAGCCAGAAGCTGCTACTTCGCTTCTCAATGGGATGAATGAAGCTCAGAGTAATATGTCCTTATCACGCGAAAAAGAAAAATACAACTACTTATCTTTCTTAGATATCCTCGTAACTCGCCGGCAAGATGGGTCAATAAAACGATCCATTTATAAAAAATCTACATGGACAGGATATTGCCTAGGTTATCATAGTTTCTTATAAGAATATATTTTAATATAATCCCAGCGTGTTTAGAAAATCAAAACAAGACATTTCTGAACGTTTTGCTGCGTAAGCCACAGTTTCTTCAGCAGATCACAGTTTCTGTCCACTTCAGACAGAATCAACTTAAAACCTTGCACATAGACGCATTGGTTTAACTTGCCACACTGATATCAAGTAGACAAAAATATATGAGAGAAGAAACAGTTGGAAAATGAAGATCAGTAAAAATATTCAAGCTTTAAAAAATGTCAGAGTGAATACAAACTTAAACTACTGTTCATAGTCCAACTTCATCTAACATTGCACGTCGAGGTAGGCAGTGGATCGGCATGCGCAACACATGTCCAAATCACCTCAGTCAGTTAACATCCATTAACTCATTGACTTGTCTGCCTTGCCTGGTGCCCTTTGCCTAACTCTGCTCACAATGATTCCACTATACACGAGCAGTACTAACAAAAAAACTACGGTCAAAAACCTGTAGTATTTTCATACCTTCTACTCTTAACGACCATATCTAACAGAAGTATAACAAGACAGAGCGTGTTGCAGTGTAGTATACTTATCCTTTAACAAGTCGGATATCTCGTTGGGACCACAGATGAAGCAGGTTGGCGAGTGTCGAAAGGGTTTTCCATATCCATTGGATTTAAAGAATATGCGCAAATAATATTTGAGGGGAGAAAACACAAAAGCTCATAAAGGTATTCTGCAACAATTATCCCCCGAAATCTATTAATCTTAACAGAAATGCAGCACAGAAAATCCATTGTTCAGTTAGTTATAAAGAATAGCATCTGTATCATGCCACCGTATATGGGCGACTGACAGGGTCTGACAATCAAATAGACTTAAAGCGGTCATTCGGAGAACACACAATACACCGAAAGTTAACATCGTAAAGAAAAAACTTGCGTACTCCAGTAACCCCTTACAATATTCGAACGATGGAGCCAAGTCCAATTGCGTTTATCAGCTTACATATACGATGGTCACACATACATAGGGAAGGCCCATCAATTTGTGCAGTCAGGTGATGGTAGGCCGCAAAGCATATCCCAAAGTGGCTGCACAACAAATCAGACCAAAATATCCCACTGACGCAGGCAGTAGATGTTCAACCTCGTCTTCAACTGAAACGCGTCGCAAGATTGGTTTGAATACGTCTTTCAAACCTATTTACAAAACCAATTTGGGACACAAATTTAGGTTTGTTTAAGCACTACCTATGGGGAAATTTAGTCCCTTTTTATGTATTCGAAACAACTTGTTATATCGACCTTCCCTTAGTAACTCAGCTCTAGTATCAAGGCTGGTAAGTGTAACATGTTATCTTTTCATCTATCATTTGACTTCTAACGCTTTGACCCTTTGTAATATCGCTTGTATTCAACCTTTTTACCCTGTGTATTCATATTGATTCTCATGGTAAGTAATTGTGTGACCAAATTGTTTAAAATGTATTTCGCTAACGCATCACACGTTTCAGACAAACTGTCTCATTGTTCCGCCCAAATTTTTAAACGGGACTAGCTGTTATAATTGAGTTTGTTAATATTTGACTACTTTTCCGTATCCTCTTAGTTTTGTGAAGTCGTAATATTTTCTTCCATTTAATATAGATGGGGACAAGTTTTTATCCTTGATGCGATTGCAGACTATACACCTGGCGACGATCGGGAAGCACAAAGTATCATTGAGCGTGTGTCACCAAGGCTAGCACATGCTAACGCCGCTGTCGTTCTATCAACTGTCAAGGTTATTATGAAAATGTTGGAAATGGTTGATCCTGCTGCTGAAATCGTATCAACTGTAATGAAGAAGTTAGCACCCCCACTGGTCACTTTACTTTCTGCCGAGCCAGAAATACAGTATGTAGCTTTGCGTAACATCAACTTAATTGTCCAGAAGCGTAGAGATATTCTAAAGCAAGAAATAAAAGTAAGCAATATTCAAATTCTTTGACTTTACTAGGAATCAATCGGCTTGCGTTGTTTCTCGGTGGTAATACGTTTTGCTGATTTTTGTCAGGCTTTATTGGGAATTGTTTCTAAAAAGACAAAATCAGTATAGAACCTTGCACACAAGTGCATCGGTTCAAGTTGCGTCATTTTAATATCAAAAAACAAGAAGTTGTGTAGGAGAATAAACAATTCGGAGTTGGTGGTTATTGCGTATTTTCAAGCTTTAGAAGACGTCAGAGTGAATATGTCTGCTCCATTGTGACCAGTTTTCAGCTACACCACCAAGAATCCTCAACCACTAATTTCTGTCGTCTCATGAACTCGAACCAAGTAGTCCACATCTCACCACACAACTCATACCAGCAGTCAGCGACTTCATCGACCTTTGCAACCTCTTTTTCTGACCATCCTGAACCCTTTTCCAATCTAATCCAACTCCCCCCAGCATACCACTTCGAGGTAAGGGATGGCTTAACATGCGCAATGCATTTCCTAGCCACCTCAATCCATTAAGCTTCACAACCTTATCAATAGACTTGTCTAGTACCCTTCGCCTAACCTCAACATTGCTCGCAGGGTGATTCCACCAAACGCGAGTAGTGCTGCGAAGATACATATTATCAAAACGCTGTAATCGCTTCATGTCTTCTTCTTCTAACGGCCATATCAGAACAAAACGGTTTGCAGCGCAGTATTCTCATCCTTTGAGAGACAGTCGGATATCTCGCCAGTAGGCGCAGCAGACCAGTTCTGGAGCATCACCGTACATTTGACAGGTGCCAGTGATACAAACGCCAAACAAACCCAGGTTTATATTCAACGCGTTCAGGAGACCCTGCATTTTATCAGTGCCTTCACCCGACAGAACAATATCGTCTGCATACTTCAATTCAACCAGATGATCTCCACAGAGTAGGTCAATCCCTGTGAATTCAGGTGTACTTAAAGTTGTCATTAGTACGTTTATGACGAAGTTAAACAGAAACGGTGACATTGGGCATTTCCGGTGGGCATCACTAGTTGTTGTCAATTCACATGACAACTCTCCGTAAGCCCTGACACATCCTCATGAGTTCGAGTAGAGAAATTTCATTAGCGCTACATACTTGCTCGATACTCCTTTCACAGCCAGAGACTGCCACGACACCTCACTGTCGACTGAGTCAAGTACTGCCTTCAAGCAAAGAAATATGATAAAAGTCAGCCGTTGCCGGTAAGCATGTTTGTGTTTCTGAGAATGTCGGAGGGTGGAAATCTGATTGATGCACCCCCATCCAGGTCTGAAAACTATCTGTGTCTTTTTAGTCCATTGTTCTCAATCTCCAGTTAGGCGTCGGATAACTATACATTCTAGGATCTTGAACACAATATTAGTTAAACGAATTCCGCTTTTGGTTGTCACAGGAAAACTTCTCTCCCTTTTTATAGGCTGGGATAGTCAGTGAAGTAAACCAGTCCGACGGCACCACCCTTGATTTCCCATACACTACCTCTGGCGACAAACCGTCATTTCATGCTGCATTGCATTGTTTCAGGTTCGCCACAGCCTTCTTAACTTCAAGGAGAGTTGGAGGAGCAACATCTACATTCTGTTCAGGTTCAGGCTGGATACTGAGCAACTGAAGCGCTACTGAAGGCCAGTTGATCTGTGCTACAGTATTCCGTCTAACGTTCTAGTCGTCTGACCTGGAACGTTATCAACATCTCATCCTTTTCGGTGATTATTTCACCAACCATCGTTTTCTTCTTGCTAGTATTTTTAATAAGCGTGAATAGTTGACGAATGTTACCCACTCTTTACGTCCTCTCCATCACTCTCGCACCCACCACTGCCCACGATCATTGCGAAGACCCTTGATCAATTTGTGTTTGAGTTGCTTTCGCTCTTCATCGTGGTCAGAGATAGCCAGCTGGAGCCAGTTCGAATGAGGTTGCGGAAATCCAATGACGTTTACAAACTTTGGGGGTAGATTACCAACTGTCCTTACCTCTGTCTCTACAGCAGACCGAATATCACTCCAGGTTTCTTCAGGATGAGCGTTGCTGTCATGTTTAGATAAATGCTTAGCTATCTCTTCCCTAAATTTGGACTTGGCGTTCTCATCTTCCAATCAACCGTAGATAGGCTTTTCTATCGCCTATTTCCTTCGACCAGTAAGGCACAAATGTGCACTTTCCCATGCCGATGCATGATTGGAGTCCAAACAGGTGCTCCAGAAAGACCGACAATCCTTCACCGATCGTCTCCAACGATGACATATAACAATATGATCTGTGTCTATCGTTGGTTTGATGTCGACATACACCATGTGATACATTGCCTCTCCTTATGCTTAAAGTTAGCGCTGGCCAGAAACAGGTGACTGTCAGAACAGAATCACAAGGGACTATCACCGTTGTTGGTTCGTTGACATGGGATTCCGTGATACCTCCAAGATGCCTTTCCGATTGGCTCAGCTTCCCTACTTGAACGTTAAAGTTACCTGCCACTATTTCAATATCTGAATGTTTTGCTTTCTGTAGCAAAGTTGATAACTTCTCATAGAATTTATCCTTTGCATCATTCAAACTACAGTCGGTGGGTGCATAGGCGGAGATTACGAATAGGCATCGCCTAGTTTCACGATCCTTCCTAGTTATTACAGATTCATTCAGTGCAACAACATGTAGACGGCTGTTGACTGGTATCTAGTTGGGAAGCTCATTTTATGCTCCACAGTTCAACGTAATACTCACACCAGCGAGTCCACCTAAGCTAGCCACTGGGTGACGTGAATTCCAAAGATTCCCCTTTATGGCCAGGTGAGATCGATTTAATAACCACACTCGGGTTGTGCATACGTGTTTCAGAAACACCATGCATCCATGGCTCGAGATTCCAGAGTTCTTTCATTCTCTGCTTGCTGTCCAATTTGACATAGAGTTCGGAGGTTGGACGCTCTTATATGAAATCGATGACGTGTTCTTAGGAGACAGTGAGATTTCGATGGTTACTACGTTGGGACTTTAATCACTTTTTTTCACTAGCTTTCCTGTGTTGGTTTGTTTGGTGGTACTTCAATGTCTGAAGTTTTTGTCTACCCTGAATAATCTTTAAAAAAGTTTTTAATGTCTTTTTAATTTTCTTGTTATCAGCATAAAACTTCCTATATGTTGCCACTCATCTGTTCATCGCTTATCGCTGAATATTGTTTTTTCCATAGGTATTTTTTGTGAAATACAATGATCCTATCTATGTGAAACTCGAAAAGTTAGATATAATGATACGTCTCATTAACCAGTCTAATATTGGTCAAGTTCTTGCTGAATTAAAGGAATATGCAAAAGAAGTTGATGTAGACTTCGTACGGAAAGCTGTTCGTGCTATCGGGAGATGCGCTATTAAAATTGAATCTGCTGCAGAGCGTTGTGTAGGCACATTGATTGAACTTATTCAGACAAAGGTTAATTATGTTGTTCAAGAAGCAGTCGTGGTTATCAAGGTGAGCTTAATTTGTGGCTTTGAATATTTTATTGTCACTGAATTTGTCTTAACTTGGTTTTGGTTGAGTTGAATTCTTCTACAGTCTCTACCTCACTTGGTCTATTTTTCTGTATGACTTTCTATGAAAACACTGAGTATTCTTGAAAGTAATTAAGATACTAAGTACAATTGTTCATCAATTTCACTATAACTTCGTTAGGTTCATGGTTTCTTTAAACATTTTGGCAATGAATCGCCATCGACATTTAGGAGTTTTTAATTTTTAGCTTTCATAGTTGTGTAATCGTTTGGTTGTCAAAATATTTGAAAGAAAAGTGTGACTCAGTTAACTGGGTAGAAATTAGAGTACTACATTTCATTTATGTGAGGCTTAAGGACACTTAATCTGATCGTTTAGAGTTGAAACCCTAGATTCACGGTCTGACATTCCCTATGATCTAGCTTTTGATAAAGAAACTCAAATTTTATTTAACATTTCCGAGCTAACAATGTCTAATGACTCACCGTTGTCACCACAAGATTGCTCACATCCGATATCAGCACCATGCAAGCAATCCTGTTCGTATACAATATTGGCGTTTTAAATAATAAAATACTGTCTCCAGCTTCATTTGATAATAGAAAAAACGATGAAATGATAGTTCAGAAAGTCTCCAAGTCTTTTGTTCAAATCTTGAATTATACTCTCATCAAATGTTCCATCTTTCCACGCTTCACCAATCCATGGTGGTTAGTTTGTCTTGTTCGAAATTGTCTTTGTTATGAATAATCTAAGCTCTGCTGTTTTGTAGGAGCTCGTTGAGCTGCATTTGTTTGTGCCTATTAAGAAGAACAAACTAAGGAAGCCATAAGTTGTATAGGCTCCTACCCAAAAAAGATGAGTTTGTGATCCGCAAACCGGATGATTGAAGTAATAAACCGAACACTTCGAGGAACATCACACCTGTCCTTTATTTAGCCTCTACCTGACAAATGAGACACTCAGACTGGTATTCTGACTCTTATTCAAGTTGAAAAATGACTGCTAAACTGAAAATGTGATGAGCATTCTCGTACCTGTTTAGTTGCCACAACCCAAATGGACTTTAAAGTGAATCAGTGTCAAACGGATACATTTTGTTTCTGATTGTAGAATAGATTGGATATTTTGATACCCATCAAGAATTGAGTCTTCCGTTATTGTCTGCTGTCTGTCCTACTATATGATCAAAAAAACGACTATAAAAGATTGATAAAAGCTTCATGTCGTACGCTAAAATTGCCATAAGAGCATAGTCTATTTGTATTATTATTATTATTATTATTATTATTATTATTATTATTATTATTATTATTATTATTATTATAGTCCCTTGGGTTCCTAGTGGAACATAGGGCTTCAGTAGCACGCCTCCAGTGACCTCTGTTCTCTGAGATCTTTTGAACCTGGTCCCACGACAGCCCACAACCTCTCATTTCCTCCTCGCACGACCTCCTCCATGTCACCCTCGGACGTCCAACTCGTCGCTTCCCATGGGGATTCCACTCGAGGGCCTGACGCGTGATGTCCCCAGTCGGCCTTCTCAGTGCATGGCCAATCCATCTCCACTTCTTCCTGCATATTTGTTGCGTGATAGGTTCTTGGTTGGTTCGTTCCCAGAGTTCCTTGTTGCTTATTCTTTCTGGCCATCTGATCTGCAGTAGCGAGTGTAAGCAGTTGTTGATGAATGTCTGTAGTTTATTGGAAATGCCTTTCGTGACGCGCCAAGTCTCTGAACCATACAGAAGCACTGACTTGACGTTGGTGTTGAAAATCCGGATCTTGTTCCACATGCTGAGTGCAGAAGATCTCCAGACTGGTTTCAGGCTAATGAACGCCTGTCTTGCTTTTCCGATTCTGACTGGTTTTGACATCCTCATCTGTGCCGCCTGTAGTTGAAACAGTGCTGCCTGCTTAGATAGGTGAAGGAGGTTACTTCCTTTAAGTTTCTCCCGTTGATGGTAACTGGAGTTTGTTGTTGGTGGTGGTGCGGTATCTTCATCACCTCTGTCTTCTCTATATTCACTTGAAGTCCCATATTCGCTGCCTCTTCTGTCAACTTGTTAGTTTCCGCCTGTAGATCTTCAAGGTTGTATGACATCAGGCACAAGTCATCGGCGAAATCCAAGTCTTCTAGGTTCTTTTCCGCAGTCCAGCATATGCCCCTCTTCTCACTGCCCACTGTTTGCTGCATGATCCAGTCCACCACAATCAGGAATATCATGGGTGATAGTAGGCAACCTTGTTTCACTCCTGTCTTCACTTCACCCCAAAGGCATCACTGAGCTTCCCATTGTGAATTACTTGGCTGGCATGTGGCATCTTCATATAGTTGTTGAATGAGGCGGATAAAGGTTTGCGGTACTCGTAGTAATGAAGCAGTTTCCAAATTACTTCTCGGTCGACGCTGTCGAAGGCCTTCTCAGAGTCGATGAAGTTGAGGTAGAGAGCTGATTGCCATTCTATGCTCTGTTCTATGATGATGCGAAGCGTTGCAATTTGGTCTGCACATGATTTGTACTTCCTGAAGCCTGAGTCTATTTGTATAAAGGCATAATATACTAGGTAAATGAACTAAATTTGTCAACTTGGGTAACTAAGATGTGTTTGACGCATGTCCAGGCACCATCTACCTTAGTACACAATGCTAACTGAAGTAGAATATAAAGTTCAATGTCAGACCAACCAAAGCATAACTTCAATCCGTGGTCTGTAATATTGGACAGTGTGTAGAGAAGAATTGTGCAGTTATTTGGATAGGTAGTGCGTAGAACATTACTTGGTAATTAATACTGTTTTATTGTGTAATATTTCAGACAAATCAACTAACATTAAATTATCCTGCATCAGTGTTTATATTAGACTCTTATCATACAGATATTTCAAACCTTCATTTATATAAACTAAAATGTTGGATACGATGGGACACCACCAAAAAATGAATGTATGAATGAGTTGTACTGTGAATTATCGTCTTCCATATGGTTGTTGTTGGTTTCGATCCCATTCTACCTTCCAAGTTTTGAGTAACCAATGTCTTTAACGAAATAAAAACGCGTGTACTATCAACATCGAACCAGGCATTACTGCGTAGCGGTCCAAGTTGCCATACCTCATATCAGCACATCAAACGATAACACTAAGATGAAAGACGGAAAATTAAAGAAGAAAGCTGTCAAAGTGATAGAAATTTATGACAAAGTAACAAGAAGATAATGTCAGATACATCTGTGTCATTGAAATGGATTGTAAGTCATGTCACCTAGTCTCCGATCAGGGATTTCTGTTAGTGTTGAGACGCCAACCAGCAAGCCTACATTCCCCATACACAACTCAGACCAACACTTAAAGATGTCATGCACTGATGACATTTTTTAATTTGGCCACTTATAACCTTTTTCCAGCCTAAACCTACTGCAGTTAGCATTGTGCGGCGAAGTAGACAGTGACTAGGTGTACGTAACATGCTCCAACCACCTCAGTCAATGAAATTTCACAACTTTACCAATTACCTTTCCTCTCCCTCCTAAAATTCTACGCCTAACTTTTACATTACTGAGATGCTGATGGCCTATGCTACGAAGACAATGATGGTCAAACATCTGAAGCTTTTTCATATAATCTATCTTTAATGGCTATGTTTCACAACCATCTAGCAGAACAGCGAACTGTAGCTCATTACACTCTACTCTTAGTAGACAATCGGTTGCACGACAGACGGCGTAAGTTGATAAAACCATAGAGCTTTCATCAGACCTGCTAGGGCTAGTGACCTAAACTGTAAAAGGTATGGTTCGTGATCTAGTAAACAAATTCCCGCTCGTTTGCTTATCTGTATTTATTATACTGAAATACTCTACTCCAGTCAAGGATACCAAACTAGCTTCCCGAAACGCTGTCATGATGTTGCCTGCTCAAAGTTTTTACCAGGGAATTCTCATTCATCATCATTATACGGCAAGAGTTCCCACAAAATCAAACGAGAATTGGAGTGTTTGGATCTTAGCATCAAACCTGTGGTTATCTGAGAACCTGAATAGGGAACTGGAGTTGTGGATCATTGCTTTAGACAGTTGACTTTCACTCAGCAGGAAATTAGCACCATGGACACGGTTTGTTGCTACACCTCTCTTCTCTTTGGACACCAGTACCATGATCACTCATTCTGCCACAGTATGCAATGAATAAAAAAGTTATAGGCTTCCCGCTCCGTCTACTTCTGTCTCGCACAGTGAATTTGGTTCGGAAAATTCTATTGATTCAACAACTTTGGATGAGTTCATGGAGTACATAATGAGCCACACGTGTAGTGAGAGAGCTTATGATAGATACCACGTGTCTACACAAATCTCTGTTAGTGGTACTGTGTTCAAACGCTTGAACCAGAGTTTGGACTTTAAGTGCCTAATTTAATGAGTCATGGTTCCATAAGTGCTACATACAATACTATCTGGAGACTTGATAATTCCTACAGTCAAGTTTAATCAGATATATGCGATACAGTAACCAATGTAATTCGTGAAATATTTTAATGAGGTAGTCATTCGAAAAAGGAGCTAATAAAATCTCATATTCGTTTGATCTTGGTACATAAACCTGCACCCAGTTTAGTTGCATCATTGCATACTATGCAACCTGTGATTCTGAGATCCTCAACACAATTGAAATCGGTGGTCGGAGACCGATTATTATGGATAAATCCACAGCTTACTTTTGATTCCATTAGCTTTTTGCTTTGCTTACTTCTATTTAGTGAAATACTACTAATTGTATTCATTCATCATTCCTGCTTACTTTCTTTGGTTTCCTGTCTCTGTGCTAGTGATCAGCAGTGTAACAACTTTAACTGGTAATCGTTTAGGCCAGCTCCTATGTTGTTTGTAGTTGATTCGTTTTCGTTTATCTCTCTAGGTCAGAAAGGTTGTTGGGTAGTATAATTACCTCCTAGGGAAGTAACAAGATATATTATATTTTGATCTCCTACCTGATATCTGTCATAGCCTTAATAAGACACTATTGAAGGATCAAAATTTTACTTTCCACAGTGATGTTTAATCATAGTTAGACTTTACTCTTTAGCTACTGATCTTGATATATACTTTTAACTTTGTAGGACATATTTAGAAAATATCCAAACAAGTATGAAAGTATTATATCTATCCTGTGCGAGAACCTTGATACACTAGATGAACCTGAGGCACGTGGATCAATGATATGGATTATCGGTGAATACGCTGAGAGAATTGATAATGCTGATGAGTTGCTTGAATCTTTTCTGGACGGTTTTCAGGATGAAAATACCCAAGTACAATTACAGTTACTAACTGCCATAGTTAAATTATTCCTTAAAAGACCATCTGATACACAGGTAATGAGTGCATACTGAATTATTTTGCAACCTATATCACCAAGGTAGTTTACGTAATATCATTCAGTCACTTATGATTTTACTTCCCCTACATAAAGTATAGTATGTAATGTATAGTGTATATTTAGCCTATTTGTAGACAAACTAAGTAGGCTAGTAGCATTCATTGTAACAAGCTGAGGGATATTTGTTACTTGTTTCATATGTTTAGTCAGTTTAATCTTTTCAATCAGTATTCTGTAATCAGGTCAAGGGATTTCCACTTTCATTATGCGGAATAGCAGCTTCATAATTCCTAATCCAGATAAAGCATGTATTTAAAAAGTCTCTTTTTATACCACTTGCTAAAGTAGTGGCACTGTAGCTCCACTACTCCAGACACTCCGTTTTCAACCAACCGGTGACGGCTTCGAACCTAGCTCCACCTACTGAGATCTATTCAACCAGGTATTATTATTGGCTTTCACAAAGTAGGTGTTACTTATTACCTATTACATGTAGTTGCTTAGCTACATTTCTTTTTCTGTTTGTTAGAATGAATAAATCTCGAAAGGTTTTATAAATTAGCATTAAGTATCCTATTTCAATATAGATAACACCACTTTGACGTCATAGTTTACACTCAACCCATAGTGTAATGTCAGTACAATCGGTACGACTTAGCTCAGAGTCTGACGCGTTTTCTGACTAGCAGGAAATCCCACATATTAAGTCATAGAAGGAAACGTAACAGTAAAGATAAGTTTCTTTTCGAATATTTCACTCACTAAATGCATACTATCGTATTTTCAATCAGCCTAACAAAGAAGACATTATTATTATTATTATTATTATTATTATTATTGTTATTATTATTATTATTATTATTATTGTTATTATTATTATTATTGAGTGAGTGAGTGAGTGAGTGAGTGAGTGAGTGAGTGAGTGAGTGAGTGAGTGAGTGAGTGAGTGAGTGAGTGAGTGAGTGAGTGAGTGAGTGAGTGAGTGAGTGAGTGAGTGAGTGAGTGAGTGAGTGAGTGAGTGAGTGAGTGAGTGAGTGAGTGAGTGAGTGAGTGAGTGAGTGAGTGAGTGAGTGAGTGAGTGAGTGAGTGAGTGAGTGAGTGAGTGATAGCAGCATAGAAAAGTGTTACCAAAGAAATAACGTATTCACTTTTCTCGCCACGGTAAGGCTAAAAAATGTCTTCAATGTTTTTGAAAACGGAAGTCAATTCGCTATCACACGGTCCCATTGACGTTTACTACCCCATATACTTCTCCAACCCACCCCTAAGTTACTTACCATGCAACGAAAAAATTTGAAATGAAAACTGATTCATCTATTTGAAAGATAATGTGTTTGTGTAGTCAATATATAATGCTATTTGCCTAGAACAATTATTTGTAGAAATCTGATTACTTGAACCAAGATAGATAGATAGATAGATAAGCCATCTGTATTTACTTACATTGGTTGAGAAAATCATCATCATTTGTCACATTAAATCTCTTTTAAGAAACTAATCGGCATTGGATTAAGCTTAAGTCAAAAGATTAATTTAAAACTTGTAGATAATTTTATTCTGTAGTGACAATGTTGTGTTGTAATACTTTAGGGAGTCTGTTTCAAAACCCATTGAGTGTAGTTGTTGTCATGATATTTGTAATTTCCTGTTGTTATACATGGCTGAATTGCTCGACCTCTGTGAGCAGATTGGCTCGTGTGCAGATGCCTTGATACTACTGCTTGCTGCTTATTCATGATGTTACATTGATGTCGGTGAGTAGAAGAGGAATCCAGGACTCTGGTTTCGTCCTGCTTGGGACTCGGTTTAATGGATAAGGCTTTGGCGTTGAAAGTGAAAAGCATTGGGTTCGATCCATAGTGAGAACAACATTACTCAGCACTTAGGGTCCAGGTACATCCAGCCGATGAGCCAGCCCCAATTAGGACGAGACGCGCATCCTCGATTCCTCTCTAGTAGTCGGTCAGATCGATACAATATTGAGTATAGTTTACGAACAAACTTACTGCGCGTAGCTGAACCAACAATTGTTATATTTTATTAATAACTGACTAAACTGAAAGCTTAGCATTGTTTGTTGACTCTTCATTGGAAATGTATTTATAATACACTATTCCTTTCCACGATACAATGTTCCCCTTCATATATATATATATATATATATATATATATATATATATATATATACTAGCCATTTCCATTGATGACATAATAATCTTGTTGTAAGTGATTTTGTTTACCATGTTTTGTTTAGGAGCTTGTCCAAACTGTCCTTGGTTTGGCTACTCAAGAATCTGACAATCCAGACCTTCGTGACAGAGGATATATTTACTGGCGTTTGTTATCTACAGATCCAGCAGCTGCAAAAGAAGTTGTTCTAGCTGAAAAGCCGCTAATTTCAGAAGAAACAGACATGCTTGAACCAACTTTGTTGGATGAACTTATCTGTCACTTAGCTAGTTTAGCTAGTGTTTATCACCGTCCACCAAGTTCTTTTGTTGAGGGTAGGCATGTAGCTCGTCGTCAACTTCCTGCACGGGTAAATGGAACCTCTTCTATTTCTACAGCGAACTATGGTGAATCACAACCAGATGTTCCTGCTCCTACAGTTATTCCAACTCAGGTAGGTTTATTTTTCGTTGTTGATACTCTTGGGTGTATGTCCGTAATTCTTCATTGCGGGCATTTGGTTGACTTAAATTATGCAGACGACATTGTTTTGTTGGGCGAAAACGCTGACAAAATCCAGGGTAATCTGAACACCTTGGGCAGAAATCTGCGTATGTTTGTCACATGTTCCGAACTTGTCAAATGTAAGATGATACCTTAAGACTTGTCTGCAGTTAATTCCAGTTTTATGATGAAGACCTTGGGTGACAGTCACGCTATGTCGTGAATTGACAGAAGTTTGAAATTGTGAACCACTGGAAACCGACCCAGTGGCTGAATGGTTAACGCGTTCGCCGTGAAACCTGAAGGTCCTGAGTTCGACCCCTAGCCGGGTCGTGGGAGCGTACTGCTGGGGAGTCCCATACTAGGACGAAACAGCTGTCCAGTGCTCCCAGATATTCAATGGTTCCCCAACTGATGTCAGTCCATCATGAATACTACTTCTAAAGTATAGACATAGATCCAATCTACCAATCAATGAGAAAAGACAGAAAGGTGAGAGGTGAAGCAGAGGAACAGCCAACAGGAAAGTCTATACAGTCAATGATACAACAATCAAAGGAAACAGCCAATCACAGACCACATCGTCAGAGCAAGCTAATAAATCACTCACGGAGAGATATTGACAACTCACTCCATACTGAAGTTAGTGCTGATGATATCGTCTAGAAGGACGATGAAATCTTCACGATTAAACAACCCAGCTCAGAGAACACAATACAACCAAGAAAGTCAAATATACATGCTTCGACCGATACAATCATACTTAATTTTAAGGTGTTCACTTTTATCAAACAGAATAATTCTAAAGCAACTGATCCCTTTGATAAATTTAAACAGCGTAATGAGAAGATGAAGATTATCTGAAACATGTAAAGTATTAGCGTTATACATTCCGAAAAATCTGATCACACATGGACTTGTCGAACTATTTATATGATAATTTACGAAAAGGTCAATGAAGTTAATAGGAAACATAGGAATAGAAAAGGATAGAAGAAAAAAAGGAAAACCTTACTCTTGGTATAAAAATTAAAATCAGTACTACCAAGTTAAGTTTAACGTGAGTACGAATTGTTTTTGTATACATAAAGGGGGTTTACATTTACGGATGGCAAGAGCTTCAATAAATTTAAGCACTCGGTTCTGACCACTTTTATGTAGTACTTTGAAGGCTGTTTTCATGTCTATCCTATGGTTAGTTTCTAGTATATGTTTCAGCGATAGACGAAGATGGATGTTTGTCACCTGCCTTTATCGGATCTGTTGAGATTAATTCTGTTTCTATAAAGAGCTAGTGATAATATAAATAGGTAATACATATTTCGCCTAGGTTTTTTAAAATCTTTTCTGAGAATATAAATACCGTCGATGGGGTTACTTTTTTTTCCTTAAAAATCAGGAAACATTAATTGGTGACCTATTAGATATCGATCTGGGTGGTGGACCATCTACATTCGATTCAACCACTATTCACCAATTCTCTCGTCCACATCCGGTGACTACTAGCTATGGATCAACAACTCCTGATCTTCTAGGTGATGGCTTAGATGATCTCCTTCCAGGTATAACTGGAACATATGGAAGTGAAGAACAGAAGAGCCAAACTGGAGGCAGTAAGATATGTTTATTCTTTACTCTGAAGTATATTTGTTTCACCGCGTGGAGATCAATTATTATTCACTTTGTTTACAGTTTTATATGGCTATGTCCACTTGTTTTAGTGATAGCGAATAAATATATACATTTATTTTGGATTAGGATAGGTTATCATGTGTAATGATTGACCTGTATGTATTCATACCCCCCCCCCCCGAAAGTACCTCTACTAGTATCCGTTTCTAGCTGTTCGAGCGCTGGAATAAGTAACTTCTTGTTTTCTCTCTCTTGCCTTTGTGTAGCCTCTTCATCCGCTGTCGATGTGTTGGCTGATATTTTCGGAGGAACCAAAATGACTGATCTCTCCAGTGGTACTAATTCTTATTTTGTACCCCCTGCAACTGTGTGGTTAGAAGCTATTCGTGGTAAAGGTCTGGAAATCCGTGGAACATTTGCTCGTAGAACAGATGCTGGACAAGCCTTTATGGAGCTAACCCTGACCAATAATACACTAACTCCAATGTCCGGATTCGCAATACAGTTTAATAAAAATAGCTTTGGTTTAGTTCCAGCCCAAGCATTAAATGTTCCTACTCCTTTAATGCCTCGTCAGTCTGTCAACGTGTCTCTTCCTTTAGCAACCACAGGTCCTGTGATGAAAATGGATCCACTTATGAATCTTCAGGTTAGTTTTCACTGTTATTTATTTTTATTTAACCAGTGAATAGACACTAATGTAGATAAATCTTACAAGCCGGTGATTTTGGTGGTAAAGCACCTGAGTTATATAAACTTAATCGTATTTTTCACAGTTACGTGTACTTTTTGTCTGGTGTTATGTTCACAGACAGACAGATCAACAAAGTCAATATAGAACCTCACACATAGGTGCATCGGCTCAAGTTGCCACACTACACAGTAGTGTAGCTGGATAGAATAAGAGTGATATTAAAATAGAAAAAGTTGTATGAGAGAATAAACAATTTGAAGATATAAGTTAGTCCAAACATTTAAGCTTCAGAAAATTTCACAGAGTGAATACATCTGCACCATTGTGACCGATTTCCAGCCATATCACCAACACTCCTCAACAACTGGTTCCTCTCATCTCGACGACCTCAACCACGTAGTCTACATCTCCCCACACATCTCAGACCAACGGTCAGAGACTGCGTCAACTAGTCTCACCTCTTCCTTCATCTGCCCACCATCAATCCTCTCACTACCTAGTCCAACTTCCCATAGCATAGCATGCCACGTTGAGTTGGGCGGTGGATGATTGGCTGGCATGCACAAGCCATCTCACCCGATGAAAGTTCACAACCTCATCAGTCGACTTACATACCTTGCCTAGTACCCTTTACCTGACCTCAACATCCCTCACACGATGATTCCAGTAAACACGAGTAGTGCTGAGAACACACTCATGATCATGATCAAAACCCTGTAGTCGCTTCATATCTTCCACCTGTAACGCACAAGTCTCCCAGCCAAATAACAGGACAGAAGGTACTGCAGCGGATCAGTATACTCGTTCATTTCATGGATAGTGAGATGTCTCGAAGCTGGCGAATTCCAAACGGGCCTTGTGTGTCCGAGATGAAATTTCGTCAGCAACCAGTTTGTTCGGGCTGATGTAACTTCTCAAGTAAGTGAATTGGTCGACACATTCCACCTCTTCATTCCTCATCATTGAGCTGGGAGTCGTTGCAGTCCAGTCCTGGAGCATCATCTTACATTTGACAGGTGCGAAACGCATGCCAAATGTACACAAACATCTGCTTGATGCGTTCAGAAGACCCTACATTTTATCAGTGTCTTCAATTAGTAGGACAATATTATCTGCATACTTCACGTCAACCAGATGACCTCCACGGAGTAGGTCAATCTCTGTGAAGTCAGACTTTCTTAAGGTTATGTCACTAGTATGCCTGCTTATAATAATCCACATAAGTCACTCCAATCCGCAGAACATTAATTTAGTCTTCGGAAACTCAGTTAATGGATCATAAGTTTGAACCCGACCACACCAGTATTTATATCGTTCACTTATGAGGAAGTCTGGCTGGTATAAAGCACTCATAGGGTAGCTAACATAACCACCAGGTACCCTGTGATACGTGAAGTCTATATTCGGTTTTTAAGTGCAAATTAATTCGATCACTCTTTATTCTTCCTACTTTCTCATCTAAATATAATTTTATTTCTATAGATTGCTGTGAAGAACAACATTGATGTGTTTTACTTCGCTGCTTTGGTTCCAATGCATATACTATTTGTAGAAGATGGTGAAATGGACAAACGAGTCTTCTTAGCCACATGGAAAGATATACCTAGCCAAAATGAACAACAATTTACACTAAATCCAATAAATCTTACTGCTGGTAAGTATCTTCTATGTTCATCGATGACATTGTTTATTTCCGGTTTTTCATTTATCGATATCATCTGTAACATGTTATCCAAGCATAATAGGGTATATTCTCTTCATTTAGTTCATAAGTGATTCCATCTGATGCCATATAAGGTATAGGAAAGCACCTATGTAAAATAGAAATCCCTTAGAGAGTAGAATGAAGTAAGTAGTAGAGCATTTTTGAAGTCTCATTGATGATATTAAATTAGTAAATTTATACTGTTCTCGTTTAATCTTCCTCTTCTTGCAATGAGTTCAGTCTCACTATTGTTTTTCATAATAAAATCAAAGTAGCATGATTACACTCAGATTTATTCAATCCAAACTTTTGTCATTATTCATGTTAATAAAGCAGAAGTAGTTTCTTTATATAGAGGTGGTATAATACACAAGTAGATGATACTGAATTCAGTTTATAATTGTTAACAGTTTCCTAGTTTTAATGTATTACTCATAAGTAGTCCATTAGCCAGTTGAACCTATACGGATTAGGAACATGAATTACTTACATAACTTCTTTAATTTGATTTTACTAGCTAGCTGTTATGGTGTTGTTGTTTTTTTTTCGGAACATTGTTGTTCATATCTACCAAGAGTAATTTAATTGTATTTTGTGAAAAACATGCCTGTCAATGGTATTCGCATTTAATCTGAAACAGGAACACTTTTTAATTGGTTCTTGATATCTAGTTTATTTCAGTCGACTATAAGTTTACTGCAAGTGCATCTCCTACAGATTCTTGCACCTGTTAAAGCCACATCAAAAAATGATATAGGAAGATATTCATCGTAACAATGTTGGTGATATTAAAAAATCTATCCCTTATTACTATTATTATCATTATTATTTTTCCCCTTGGGTTCCTAGTGGAATATAGGGCTTCACTAGCACGTCTTCAGTGCACTCTGTTCTCTGCAATCTTTCAAACTGGCTCCACGACTGCCCACAAGCTTTCATTTCTGCCTCACACGATCTCCATGTCACCCTTGACTCGGACGCCCAACTTGTCGTTTCCCATCTAGGTTCCACTCAAGTGCCTGGCGCGTGCTGTCCCCGAACGGTTTTCTCAGTGTATGCCCAATCCATCTCCACTTTCTTCTGGATATTCGTTCGGCGATGGGTTCTTGGTTGATTCGTTGCCAGCCAGAGTTCCTTGTTGCTTATTCTCATTGTTCTAGCCACCTATCTGATCTTCAGTATTGAGCGAGTGTAGGCGTAGGCGGCAGCTGTGGCCTGATGCATGTCTGCAGTTTATTGCAAATGCGTTTCGTAACGTGCCAAGTCTCTGAACTATATAGAAACACTGACTTGACTGAATTAGTGTTGAAAGTCCGGATGTTGTTCACGCTTTATGCTGAGTGCAGTGAAGCAGATCTCCTCACTGGTTTCAGGTTAATGAAGGCCTGTCTTGCTATTCTGATCCTTGCTTCGATGTCCTCATCTGTGCCGCCTGTAGTTGAAGCGATGCTGCCTAGGTAGGTGAGAGAGACTACTTATTTTAGATTTCTCCTGTTCATGGTGGTTGATGCTTGTTGTTGGTTGGAGGAGGAGGCATACATAACATATGTTTCACTTATTCACAATCAATAGTTGTGTAATACTTTTTTTAAGCATACTCACGTTGTACTCAATTCTTCTTCAGTTCAGTTAACTTTAGAAGACAGGTAGAAGGAATAGTCTGAGTATCATTAAAGTACTTAATTTTATTGAGAATGAAAATTTCTGTTCCGATAGTATTGTAACTCCACAAATCATACTGCTTTTAAGATAGTGATATATATATATATATATATATATATATATATATATATATATATATATATATATATATAATTACTATTAATTAAGTCTGAGTTATTGATCATAACGAAGCATATATCTACGTCCTACTCTTAGTGAAGTGTGACAGTGTTCATGACAAGATTGGTATGCAGGAAGGGAACACAAAATATGCATTGAAAATATCAGGTGAATACCCCGGTCAAGGTATATAGCAGAAAGATAAAAGTTACATTTTTATCATAATCAATCTGTTGAGTAATATAAAAACAAGAAGAATGAATATGAGGAATAGAATGGATTACTACCTTTCAGTTTATTTTTCCTTCATTCTTCCCCGCCCCCCATATATTTGCAACTAGAAAGGGTGTGAAGTAAACATCTGCAGTGCTATTTAAAAATAATACTTCATTTACTACATGAGTGTATGTTTACCAAGTGTTGTTAGTATATGATTTTCCATTCAAGAGTAAAACAAGTCGTCTAGATACTTATCGCCCTGGAGAGCTAGCTATTTGGTCTAATTCTTTTTTTTAATCTATCTACAGTGTTGTAGGCTTAGTGTTTCATGGTATACAAAGCCGGTTAACATTAAAGTGCACTGCAATAGGGATTCTCCTAATCGTGAAGCTGTGACTGAGAGTGGTTTAGGGAGATAAACTTCAACTTATAATAATAGGTCATAGATTGGAGTAGCCAAGTAGTATCACTAGCCATCACACAATAGGTGTGGCTCTTTGACAACCCTACGAATGTGCACAGGATAGCTGAGTGTTTGATTCTCCTAACTCACTGACTACATTACAATAGGATTCAGTGTCAGCACGTTGGACCAGGTAGTATGAAATTGGACAGTCTCTCCAATGACCAATTAGTTTATTCATTTAAATGGATCTGAGAGGTTCACAGTGGTTAGTGTAAGAAATGACAGAGACACTTTCCATATAAATAGTCATTTGAACAATGTGTTTCATTCCCTTTTCTGCTTCTATCTCGACTTGCTCTTAATACGCTCAGATTACTTTTCTCTGGGCAGAATCTTTACGCATTGCTGGTGGTAAATTCCCTATGATTTCTATCGACCTGTAAACATGTACTACTTATATCCATTGTTATAAGTAGCATCCACTACACCAGTAAGTATATAAGATTAACTTTTCTTCTTAGTTTATTGTTATTTGCATGTTCATTGGGTTACTTCCATTAAGTTTAATTTCATGAATTATCAATTCTGTACGTCTTTTAGATGCTTGTAGCAATAAGCTGCGTCAAAATAATGTATTCACTATAGCTAAACGCAATGTGGATGGTCAGGATATGCTTTATCAATCTATGAAGCTTACAAATGGTATTTGGGTGTTAGCTGAACTCAAAATTCAACCTGATAATCCATCTTTCATTGTAAGATTTTATGATTATATAATCACTTTTACCTCTACACTATGTTCATCTAGTTAATCTATTTAAGCTGAATGTTTTTTTTCTTTTGAATGAGTCAATAGTGCCAAAATTTTATTTATTTTTTATCTTCCCAATGTTAACTAGATTACATAACTACTATTTGTAGTTATACTAGATTGGATTATTCGACCTCTGTTGGCATATGAACTCCTATGCAGAGATGCCTTGATGCTGCCTGAAATGCGCATCCTGGATTCCTTTGCTATCCACAACCAAGTAAATATCCAGGTAATATCGAGGCATCCGCATAGGAGCGCATATGCTTATAGACGTTGAACAATTCGATCCAGTAAAAACAACGGAGAACTACAATCATATCAGCAAACAGTATTAACTCACACTCGTTGTAAAAGACGTGGTTATTATGCCTCAGTGGTCTAGTGAATAATGCTTTGGCGTTTGAAGCGATGGGTTCGAGCGCGTGCAGCTGACAAGTCCCACATATAATGAAATGTGCATCCCAAACTTATCTGCCATCCAAAATTAAGTAAATTATCAGATTACATGATGTTTTACCTACGCAAAATTAAATACCACTAGCATATTCTCCCAACAGTTGATCAGTGATTTAGCTACCAGCACTTTGAACTAAGCTGTAACTAATTGGTCTACACTACTTACTGGTTACCAACCAACTAAATCATGAGTTCGAACTGTGTCGGCATAACGTAAACAACTGAGGGCCAATGTTATTCGTAAAAGGTTATGTGTTGTTGATGGTTTAGTGCACATGGGATACAAGTTGGGCAATGACAAATACATAGAATGGTCAGGGTTAATGGTTCATTATTTTGTTCTATTTAATATCTTAAACATGACCCCACTGAATTTCCTTTTCATCTAATCCATTTTATTTCTATACGAATAATAACGCCAATTATGGTCGTTTTATTTTTGAGCTGATTAGTTGGTCTCTGTTACTGATCTAAGCGTCAATTGGTTCCACCTGTTAGTGATGTTGTGGGTTGCTATGTTCAGATTTGATCCTACTAATACCACTAACTTCACATCAGACGAATCTGAGAGACGTGTATTCCACTGTTCCAAAATGTACTTGATCTACTTCTACAGTAAGTCAATCATGGATCAGATAGCTGAGTGATGACATTCATGACTTCAACAGTGAGTGACGTGAATATGAGTCTCTCAGGAGGTTACGTATACACCTTGCTGATGAGTTTCAAGAAGTCCGAAACCTAGATCTAGAAAGAATTGGTGCTGATTGCCTTCAGTCATCTTACTTCAAAGCGGACCGTGATGCTGAGTCTTCTAGCCTGCTGATGATATCGTAAAAGAAGATCAACAGCATTCGATCAGCACTTAAGATTGAACAACCTGAAAGTGACTACTCTTTAGTGACTTATCAGCGTAAGGCATACTAGTGTCTTTGACTTAGCCTCTCAAGGTATAGCTACACTTATATGAAGCGGATATCGTGAATAGAACTAGCGTAGTTATCCAAGAAAATTCGTTAGGAATTTCAAGCCAAATCTTATAAGTGAATCCATTTAACTTTTTGGAGTACTATCGTGACTGAGAGTAAAAAATTTGATATGTATACCTTAACATGATTTCTGTGAGGGTTTACGTTGATCTTCTAGGCGGCTAAACGCATTTTTGACAGTGACTAAATGTAGCGTAATAATTTCTTGAACATTCCGCCCAATACGCTACGGGAGTAATACACGTTTACGTATATTGGGTATGTTCTAGTTCTTCCTAGAAGACCATGGAAAAATGAAATTTAGTCTACTTTAAGTAGTAATTATGAGTCACCTCGATTAATATATCATAAATTGTTGAAAGTATCCATTTTCGGCGAACAACTAATCGGATTATTGAAACTCTTTTTGTAGCCAGAAATTTAGTTATTGACATACTTGTTATTCTCCCTTGTTTTGTTGGATGGAATTGTTCGAGCTCTATTGACATATAGACTCTTATGCGGATGCCTCGATATTACGTGAATGAATAGAGGTTGAAGAATTTGATCCAATGGAACGAGGGAATACTACAAGTACATCATTAAATATTAATAACTAATACCCGTTATAAGTGACTATCTTTCCTCTGTGGCATGGATAACGACTTGACGTTTGAAGTGATGGGTACGATATTGCCTGAATGTTAATTAAGGTAATTTGTTTGGTTGTGGTTAGCAGAATAATTTGATCCAATGAACAAACGGAGAATTCCAGGTATGTCAATAAATAGTAATAACTACTATCTGTTGTACAAGAAGTGGCTATCGTTCCTCTGTGGCATAGTGGAGCGGATAGGTACGTGGTTTGAGTCTCAGTGGGAAAAAACATCACTCTGCACTGAGGTATGTGTAGGTACATCGATCTGTTTCCTAAATAGGACCATTACTAAATCATCAAGATGAACGTTCTAGTTTTTAGTTAAATACATTAAACACCTTTTGTAAAGAAGAAGAAGAAAATATACAAAATGCTTTTTCGTTACCTCCGCCCCCCCCCCTGCCTCCTATCAACTAATTCATTTTGCTTCTATTCATTTCTAGTTATCTTTAAAATCACGTACAATGGATGTATACCCTGGTGTACAACTGGCATTTGATGGAATATTGAAATATTGATTGGTCGATTGATGATGATTTATCCATCATTGGTCATCAATTTATGTGGAGATATTTTTTTTTTCAAATAGTTTCATGAATGAAATTATCCTTCGAATAATATTGATAATTGACTTGCATACTATACTATAATAAATTAGGAGTATTATGCATAGAATTCATGATTCTTTTCCTTCTGTTCAAGTATTTACTGTTGGCTACTTTTATTTTATTTATTCCATTTGATGAATAGTTGATTTATCTCTTGTTTTATTTCAAAATTCAATGTGATTTGTTTGTTTTTTATTATATCACACTTATTGATGTTGTTCTTCATTTTGCATAATTGTGACTGGATTAGTTTAAGGGAGTTGACTTTCAACCCTATAAGTCGAGGGTTTCAAAGACTGTTCTCACTTTCTGAGATTTGATTCATTGCCTAATACATGAATGTGTGCAAGGTTACTTTGAAGTGGATTCTCAATTTTCTGCATTAATAATATGTTTTCAATAAGTCAGTCTTTTATGTCTCAAAAAGGAAAGCTTATTATCAGTCGAACTTCGTAGTTTTTAGTTGATAGAGCATCGGGCCGGAAACCCGGTAGTCACTGGTTAGAATCTGACTGCGGTCCAAATTCTCATTTCATCTTCAATCATTACACAGTATCAAATATTATAGTACAGTTGATGATTACAATACTGTTGATAAAAGGGTTTCTTGATCACATTTTATACACCTAGATGTTTATCTCTCTCCTGTCATATACATATAGTTAAATTCAGCTGCTGGTAAGGAATTATTCGAGAGAAATTGCGATATAAACAAAAACAGACAAAATCTATTTTCCTTATTGAGATTGAAGGTAGTAAAGTATGCTGTTGTATTATTTCAGCGAAAATTAAATGACATTTACAATTTCTGAATTTGAAGAGATACGATCAGCAACTACAAATCGATAAATAATTAATCGATAGAATTTCCCTGTCGTTGATTGAACTCGATCGGTCAATATTTTGTGCTAAAACCTGGATATCATCGGTAACTTAACTCTTATATTAGTGATAGGTAGTAACCAGCTATGGAGTCGAGGATAAACATTCTCGCTTATTTGAAACCTGTCAGCTTACGATTGAGTAATGGTATTCCCTCTGAGACTCGAACCCATTGCTTTGGACCTCAGAACGTTGTCCACTCGGTTGCTGAATCACGATATAAGTTGTTGTCTATTTTTACTAGTATCTATTGTGTAAATGGTGGCTGTTGTGACTCAGTTGTGTAGTGAATAACGCTTTGGTGTTTGAAGCCATGGGTTTATATCTCAGTTAGAACAGCATCACTTAGTAGTGAGACGAAATGCGTATCCTGTGTTAGACTGTCTATCAAACTGATTGAGGAATTGGTTATTCAATTAAATAAACATAAGTTGTACTCTTTACAGTAAATCATCGCAGTTATGCTGATCAAAGAAGTACATGCTGTTATACAGGAATTGTATTATAAACAGTAGGTACTGTTCGATTATTCTACCTATTTCAAGAGTTGTTCCGACTCTGGATATCAATGAAATCCTGTTATGGTTAGACTAAGCTTGTTTAGTATTATCCAACTTACGCTATATTGATTGACATCAGGGATTCTGTTTCAGCATTGACTGTATAACGTAGTCATTTGATTTTTTCTACTGTAATACTCTTGGATGTTTGATCAACGGTATTTCTGAAGTTTTACATGTTTTCGATTCGTCTGCTGAACGGTACTAGATGCATAGTACTGGGTTCAGAAGGTAAATCAACTGTTGCAGTTATCTATGACCGTTTAAAGTGTTTAACACATTTGCTACCTACCTGTGCTGATATGAGTAGTAAATTCAGGGTGGTCAAAACTCAACTTATCTACAACAAGAAAGTTTCTGTTTTGCAAGGGTTACGTTTCCGCTTATGGTCCAAACTTCGTGATTTGAAGTTACTTAACAGGAATGTGAATACTTCACACACGACTGTTAGTGTTTGATAGAACTATCTGGTGATCACTGTTAGGGTTACATGCATTACTAAGCAAATGATGCAAGTTTATGGGGGACGATTACAAAATTGCATCACATGATGTGAATGAACCGTGTGTTGTGCACACCGAGTCAGTATTGGTATTTTAGTAAGTTGTCAAAGTGTCATCGCACTCAGCCATAAAATCATAGCTTAAGTGATTTACTGAAATGCAAATCCACGAATCAAGGCCTAAATGTTATACATTAGTGGTTAGGAGCTGTAGTTGCTATAACTTGAAATCTGGGATGATAAAAATTCAATCCTCTCAGCAACCGTGTAAGAGCTGTCATCAGAATTGACGACTACTAGTGATGTCCACCAGGGATATCCATTGTCACTGTTCCTATTTAGTTTCACTATGGATGTACCAATGGAAATAACTTTAGGAAAGTCTGACATCACAGAGATTGACCTACTCCGTGGAGGTCATCTGGTTGACGTGAAGTATGCAGATGATATTGTCCTACTAATTGAAGACACTGATAAAATGTAGGGTCTTCTGAACGCGTCAAGCAGATGTCTGTGTACATTTGGCATGCGTTTCGCACCTGTCAAATGTAAGATGATGCTCCAGGACTGGACTGCAACGACTCCCAGCTCAATGATGAGGAATGAAGAGGTGGAATGTGTCGACCAATTCACTTACTTGAGAAGTTACATCAGCCCGAACAAACTGGTTGCTGACGAAATTTCATCTCGGACACACAAGGCCCGTTTGGAATTCGCCAGCTTCGAGACATCTCACTATCCATGAAATGAACGAGTATACTGATCCGCTGCAGTACCTTCTGTCCTGTTATTTGGCTGGGAGACTTGTGCGTTACAGGTGGAAGATATGAAGCGACTACAGGGTTTTGATCATGATCATGAGTGTGTTCTCAGCACTACTCGTGTTTACTGGAATCATCGTGTGAGGGATGTTGAGGTCAGGTAAAGGGTACTAGGCAAGGTATGTAAGTCGACTGATGAGGTTGTGAACTTTCATCGGGTGAGATGGCTTGTGCATGCCAGCCAATCATCCACCGCCCAACTCAACGTGGCATGCTATGCTATGGGAAGTTGGACTAGGTAGTGAGAGGATTGATGGTGGGCAGATGAAGGAAGAGGTGAGACTAGTTGACGCAGTCTCTGACCGTTGGTCTGAGATGTGTGGGGAGATGTAGACTACGTGGTTGAGGTCGTCGAGATGAGAGGAACCAGTTGTTGAGGAGTGTTGGTGATATGGCTGGAAATCGGTCACAATGGTGCAGATGTATTCACTCTGTGAAATTTTCTGAAGCTTAAATGTTTGGACTAACTTATATCTTCAAATTGTTTATTCTCTCATACAACTTTTTCTATTTTAATATCACTTTTATTCCATCCAACTGTTCTTTGTATACTAGTGTGAAGTGTAGCAACTGGAGCCTGTGCACGAGGTTGTACGTTTAGGAACTGAAGAGTTGTTGGGAGCAAATTGAACCGTGATTCAGGGTTCCGATCAGCGTTCTAGCCACGTGTCCTAGGAGGTTTTCAGCGTCCCATGGGTTACGGTTTCACTGACTATAGCCTTCTTCCCAGGATCTTTTGGAATCCTATATAATCCCTGCTGCTGCCTTCTCTGTCTCTTACTTTCTTTACCCACCACTGCTAGTGATCGACGTGAAGATTCTCGGTTAACTTACATATGAGTTGCTTTCGCTCTTGATCTTGGTCAGACCCATATGTAATCAGTTTTCTCTCTAATCGTTTTTGATGACGTAGCGGAAATCCAGTGATCTTTGGTAACCTTCTGTAGGTTGCCAATTGTCTTTACTGCTGTTTCTACAGCAGACTTATTATCACATCATGCTTCCACAGGATGAGCATTGCTGTTACCTTGCGATAAATGCTTATCTAACTCCTCCCTAAGTGCGTACTAGGTGTTCTCATCTTCCAGTCGGCCGCATATGAACCTCATTGCTTACTGCGATCAGTAGGGGGCAGAAAAACACGAGCTCGTACTAGCGGTGATCGTAGTGCAAACTGGTACCCCAGAAAGAACGGCAATCCAACAATTGCCTGCAGCAATATGTTTTCTTTGTGTCCATCGTGGGTTTGAAGTAGGTGGACGCTATGTTAGACACTGCCTGTCTTTGTGCTTAAGGTCAGAAGCAAGTGATTGTTGGAACAAAATTGCAACAGATGATCACCGTTGTCGAGTCATCGATATGGGATTGAGTAGTTACTTCCAAGATGCCTTTCCATTCGGCTTGGCTTCCAAACTTAAGCGTTTAAGTCACCTCCCATCATGACTACATCTGAATGTTTTGCTTTTTGTAACAAATTTGACAGATCATAGAAGTCATCCTTTGCATTACCTGAACCACAGTCGGTGGGTAGGTACGCGGAGATTACGAATGGGTATCGGTCGGTCTCACCACCCTTCTTATTCCTTACAGATCCATTCAGTGGAACAGCACATAGACGGTTGTTTACTGGTATCCAGTCGAAAAGCACACTTTCCTCTCTACAACTCAATGTTATGCCTATACCAATGAGTCCACGAGACCTAACCGTTGGGCCTTCGGATACTCGTAATGTGAATTTTGAAGATTCCCGTTTATGTCCAGGTAAAGTCAACTTAATAACCACACTCAAATCCTGCAAATGTGTCTCACAGACACAGCACATATTCATGGCTAGAGATTCCAGAGTTTTGGCGGGCGACGGTTGCTGTCCATCTTGTCATAGGCCTAGGGGGGTCCACTAGGGACTTGGTAGCCTGATCTTAGGAGACTAGAAATGGTGTTCTGCTAGCTTGGATCACTGGCAATAGTCCCAATGTGAAACTTTGGGGAAACGGTAAGGGGATTGATGTGGGCACTAGGAAGTGAAGGCAACGAAGTAAGTAGTCTAGAAAGTCGGTTACAACTAGTGTCTTAGTATACAGATACACTTCATGGACTGCGTTCACCATGGAAGTTATTTCTGGAAGATACTTGAGCCGAGAAATCTGTTTAATGCCAATCTCACAAAGTTCTTTGGAGGTCTGAGATTTAAATTTGGTTGTGTTGTATCCAGGCCATACAAACAAATACCACCGGCAAGAGAAGTATGCCACTTTTAGGACCAACAATTGCTAAGTCTTCCTTCTTGTAGAAAAAAAAAGGAATATCAACGTGGAATGCTGACTATCCGTGAGGAACACCTTACTACTGTCATACCCTGTCCATACAACTGTACGACTTTATCCCCAAACTTTTGCATCCCAGCGTAAACTATGACGACACACATATATGTATATATCATTTGTTACTCAATAATGAAGTATAGGAGATAATAACAGAAATATAATTTTATTTTGTTATTAAATAAATTCCCTGATACAGATTAATTGTTAAAGCTGAAATGAAGAAATTATTGTGAACTAGATAAAGAGAAAGAGTTAAAAAGGAAACGAAAACATTTCGTTAAATATACCTTAGCAATAATAGTAGTAGTATTAGTAGAAACCCAGGGAAATAAATTAACACAATGCACAGGAGAAAAAAAAAAAAGAAAACAGGCAATTTTGATCATAAATATAATTTAAATGGCTAAGTTTATTGTTATTATTATTGTTTGTATGTGCTAATGTGTACATGCTTGGATTAGTCGGTCACTTTAATCAATATTTCAAAACAAAACAAAAAGAGGTGAGAAACCCATTTCTATCAGTTCAATAGTGAAACTCATCATCATTTGATCATTGTAAGCTGCTGCCATTTTCTAACAAATATAACACCACCGGGTTTTTGTTATATCTGCAAGACATATATATATATATATATATATATATATATATATATATATATATATATACATATATATAGGTAGGTAGGTGAGTACATGATGTTAATTATTAGACGAAGTAGACATTGATGAACCTGAGTTTTATCAATGGATTGGCTTTTGATTGCACAATGTTATTGTATTATCTCATGTTATTATTTCTCAACTATCTGCTTATATATTCATGTTTACTCATGTTGAGATATCTCACCAACAATAGAATTATCTATAAGTTGTTCTGTTTCATCCAATTGTAGAAGTTGAATATACAAATTAGGCAATGGTAAATAATTATTTTCTTTCTTAACAACTTTCAACACCTCCTTATGATGTTTATTCATTTTATCTAAATGTGTTATAATACTCAAAAATCTATAGAAACGTATTTCTGAATTGAAATATTCTATAAAAGTAATTAAAAAAAATGAAAGTAAATCAGATATTTCATTTAAAAGAAATTCTCATTCAAAAAACCGCTTGAGTAAAAAAACATTCTTCAATTCCTATATAAGTATATGCTCATTTTGTATATTTTTACGTCAATAATATTAATGCCTTTGTAGTATAAGCCGTATTCTGTAGTGTCATTGTGTGAGTAATGCAGATGTCAGGTGTAGAGTTTTAGGGAGTAGAGATAAGTCGGTTGATGAGGTTATGAACCTTCATCAACTGAGATAGCTGGTTGGGACACGTACTACGTATGCCTAGTCACTGATTGCATCGTCATACAATGTTGACCGATGTAGGTCCAGGCTGGAAAAATGCCCGAGATGGCCAGACTAAAACATGGCTGGTTTGAGCTATGTAGACTAGGTGGTTGGTATCCACGGGACAAGAGGAACCAGTGCCTGGAGACTCTAAGGGATATGACACAGATGTATAGACACACACACATGCTATACCGAATCTCACCATCTTCTCATTCTTCCTTTCCCTCTTTTCGTACTTTATTTTTCTTTTGACTGAATTTTCGTATCTTCATCTCCCACCTCACTACCTTTTTACTTGATGTGGCTGTGGCAACTCGGACCGTTATGCAGTAATGCCTGATTCTGTTGTCATTGATTGATTGAATGACAACATATAATTGTGGAAGTCATTTCAGGAAACTCTTATATGAGAGTTAACGATGAAACTGTTTATTACTGAATTTCAATTCAAAGTAATTGATTATCCAGACGATTATACGGCGTAGATAATGTTATAAGGTGATAGTTTAGTAAAATAATAGGAACGTGTTACAGAATAAAGGGTATATGTTTTGGAGATACAGTTGACGAGGAACTGACGACTTTAATCAATACACATTAATTAAAAATATCTATCGTGATAAATTTATAAAGTAAAATGCCAAGAAACGATATTCCATCAGTTAGTAGGAAATCACTACACATTCGAGTACAATTGACAGCAAGATATTAATTCACTAAGTATATAAATCAATTTAGACAATTATTAATGCTGATAAATTACGTTCTCCACATGCCAAATGCTGACACCGAGACTGAAAAATGAACTGGCTAGACTAACCACTTAATGGTGTGTTTATCAGTTCGCCTGTTCCTGTGGAGCGAGTTATGTTGGCCGCTTCTCATGAAGACCTGTCAGTATGATTAAGTAAATGTACACTAAAGACTATTACCGAACCATAAGGTGAATATGAATGAGTTGTTAACCATTCTGAACCAGGTTTCTATCAATTTGTCAAAAGGTAGTCGGCTATGAATCCTTCCATCTGTAGAAGTAGTAGCAATCAGAATCAAACAACTGGAGTTATATGTTTATAGAAGAAAGTGTTGTCGTTACAACTACTATGACCCCTAGTTAATCTAATTTTCAAATTTCATACTGTAGATATCCCTCCATCCCTATAATCTGAAATCATTATAACGCCTTCTCTTAACCCTCCTGTGTCCCTCAACATAAGTAACATTCTATAAAGCAGCTATTCGTCAAATTATCGTTGTTACCTTATTTCATCCAACGTTCATAAACACCTTTCAACTGTTTTATTAAATTATCATCTTACACTATTATCTACACTGTATAATCAACTGGTTTAAATTGAATTCCAGTAATAATTGATTCCATTGTTAACTCTCATATAAGACTTTTCTGAAATGATTTCCTCAATTATATGTTAACATTAACAAACTGATAAGCGAAATCCTAATATTGTTGATGCGAAAGTACACAGAATGAGCATGTAACTGTAATAATAATAATAATAATAATAATAATAATAATAATAATAATAATAATAATAATCGCTTTATTCCAAACTATATGTATGATATGGTGTGGAATTCTCAGTATGTGGTTTTTCAACAAACTCACTCCCAAAACAACACTATCAGATGAAATGGTTATTGCATCTGAATAGTGTTAATAATAACAGTATTCAAGGCAATAATGTGAAGTAGCCAGCTGGATCGCGATAGGCATTTGGTTCATAATGAATAATCAACAGAAATGCAAGCGCAATTTTTGTGGTGCCGGTTCATTCAGACAGTACAGATATATGTAACTCGAGCTAAGCATGTGACGGTAGAAGTATAATGTACCTTTTTTTTCAATGAAAGGTCCATTTTCATATAACGTAAATTTTTTTTCTCTGCTTTATTACTGACACGAGAAACGGAAACAGTTTAAAAATGTGCAATCGTATATGATACATTCAAATGACATATTTAGATGACTAAAACAGATTGAAAAATGTTCAGTGGATAAATCTGGTAGCCCAAGTTTCAAGAAGGCCGTCGTGTTAAAACTTATAGAAGAAGAAGTTATCGAAAAGAATATTCTTTGTTCATTCAAATGGCTTTCAAACTAAATATGTTTTTATCATTACATTATTTGTCCCTTGAGTCCCTAGTAGAACATAGGGCTTCAGAACACGTCACCATTGCACTTTGTTATATGAAATATTTTGAACCTGGCTCCACGACTACCCAGAAGCTCTCATTTCTTCCTCACACCATCTACTCCATGTCACCCTCGAACGCCCAACTCGTCGTTTCCCCTTTGGCTTCCACTCAACTGCCTGGCTTATGATGTCCCGAATGGTCTTCTCAATGCATGCCTAATCCATCTCCACCTTCCTCTTCTGCATATTTGTTGAGTAATGGGTTCTTGGCTGGTTCGTTCCCAGAGTTCCTCCTTGCTTGTTCTGTCTGACCATCTTATCTTTAGCACTGAGTGGAGCGTATGCGGCATCTGTTGATGAATATCTGTAGTTTGTTGGAAATGCTTTTTGAAACGCGCCAACTCTCTCAACCATCACTGACTTGACATCGGTGTTGAAAATCCAGATGTTGTTCACGCTTTATGCTGAGTGAACAAGATCTCCACACTGGTTTCAGGCTAATGAACGCCCATCATGCTTTCCGATCCTAGCTTTGACGTCCCCATCTGTGCCGCCTGTAGTTCAAACGATGCTGCCCAGCCTAGTTAGGGGAAAGAGGCTACTTTCTTTAAGTTTCTCCCGTTAATGGCGATTGCAGCTTTTTGTTGGTGGTGGTGGTGGTGTTGGTTGCATATCATCATCACCTCCGTCTTCTCTACATTCACTTGAAGTCCTGTCTTAGCTGCTTCTTCTGTCAACCTGTTAGTTTTCGCCTGTAGATCTTCGAGTTTGTGCGACATTTGACACAAGTCATCGGCTCTCTGAGCTAAGATCATGTGTAAAAACCAAATGTAGCAATGGATATTATTCCAGTAAAAAATGTAATGTTTTACATATATTGTTTCAGCTGATGGCCTGCTTAAACTTTGGGTTACCGGAATTTTTCCAACACATTTCTTTCGTCGAATCTCTTTTGTTTTGTTTTAATCTTTTAGATATGTCTTTGAAATGCATCATATACTTCTAGGCACTTTTAAAATGGTTCCAAGTGACCGTTTTTCAAACTAACTGTAAAATTGGCAATAAGCTATACACCTGTAAAAGATGGGCTTACAGATGCAAAGAACTGCAGTATATTACTATTCTGAGTGAAATGGAAACCTGGCCCATGGCAAGATTCCACCTAACAACCTCCAGGTTACCGAGCCAGTCCTCTACCAGCTGAGCTATGACGACCGGCTACTGGCTACATCTTAATTTCACTTCAATCACCAACGGTTTTTCCCGATAACGTTGAGAATTCATAACGTATTACTATCGTTTGATTGTACTAACACTGGTTGCTCAGAACAGATTTGATTTCAAATTATCCACAAGCTAAACCAAACCAATTTTTATGCTGTATCATATCTCTTACCCAAGTAGAGTAACGTAATCAGTAATTCAATGGGTCACTGTTCAAATTAGATAACGATGTGAATTATCTGTATTGATTGGTCACGGGAGTGCAACCAATTTCATGTTGTCTAGTCCTGAGTGCAGATCGAATTCTATCGATCATATTTGCAATGTCGCAACCAAGCTAGGAAGCTCAGCATCGCGGTGCACATTATTAGATATTAGTTGGTTGGAGGAAATCGGCAGGAAGTCCTGGACCTAGGTTTCGTGCTTTTTGGCACTCGTGAGTAAGGCGTATCTGCAACCTTGACGGAACTGATGTCCCGCCTGAGATCCGAACCCGCGTCACCCAGCGTTGTAGTCAGCGACTTTACCTCTGAGCTCGGATATATATATATATATATATATATATATATATATATATATATATATATATATATGAAGTGCCACAAACCTTTATCGACCTCATTCAACAGCTATACGAAAAGGCCGCGTACCAAGTGATCCACAATGGAAAGCTCGGTGACGCTTTTGAAGTGAAGACAAGGGACTAGAGTAAGACAAGGCTGCCTACTATCACCCATGATCTTCCTGATTTTGGTCGAATGGACTGCATCATGCAGCAAACAGTGAGGAGCGAGAAGATAGGCATACACTGGCGGGACCGATGAAAAGACCCTAGACGATTTGGATTTCGCCAACGATGATGACCTATGTCTAATGTCTTGTAGCACAAACCTGAAGATCTACAGGCGAAAACTAACAAGTTGATAGAAGAAGCAGCCAAGACAGGACTTCAAGTGAATGTAGAGAAGATGGAGGTGATGAAGATATCCAACCAACATCAGCATCAACAACAAGCACCAATCACCATGAACGGGAGAAATCTAAAATAAGTAGTCTCTCTCACCTACCTAGGCAGCATCGCTTCAACTACAGGCGGCACAGATGAGGACATCGAAGCAAGGATCAGAATAGCAAGACAGGCCTTCATTAACCTGAAACCAGTGAGGAGATCTGCTTCACTGCACTCAGCATAAAGCGTGAACAACATCCGGACTTTCAACACTAATTCAGTCAAGTCAGTGTTTCTATATAGTTCAGAGACTTGGTGCGTTACGAAAAGCATTTCCAACAAACTACAGATATTCATCAACAACTGCCTACGCTCATTACTGGAGCTCAGATGGCCAGAAAGAATAAGCAACAAGGAACTCTGGCTATCAACGAATCAGTCACGAACCTATCACCCAACAAATATATTCAGAAGAAGAAAGTGGAGATGGGTTGGGCATACACTGAGAAGACAGTTCGGGAGCATCCCGCAACAGGTCCTCGAGTGGAATCCAAAGGGGGAAACGACGAGTTGTACGTCCGAGGATGACATGGAGGAGATCATGTGAGGAAGAAATGAAAGCTCGTGGAGAGTCGTGGCACCAGGTTTTGAAGACTGCAGAGAACAGAGTGGAATGGAGGTGTGCTGCTGAAGCCCTATGTTCTACTAGGAATCCAAAGGACAACTAATAAATAATTATGCATATATATAGTCAAGAATATATCAAAAGTACTCCAAAATAGTATGCAAAATAAAACAGAATTACTTATCATCACCATTTCCTTACTTGTTTCATAATCTTTTAATACTTGCAGTATTTCTTGATAGGCTTTATCAACCTTTGCTGAATCATTCAATAGTCTTCTATCTGTAAGATGAAAATGTTAAAAGTTATTTTATATCAGAAAAACATGGACAACTAGGTAGTAGTCAAATGTTTATCAGTTACTATAGTGTACAATATCTTTTTTTAATTTCTCTCAATGTCTATTTATCAATATGTGCATGTGTGTGTGTGTGTGTAATTTTTTCAAGTTTGAGGATCATAATAGAAACGCCTAACCAGACCATATTATCTCTTAATCCGGACCAAAGTCATTTAGAAGAAGGTAAAAATGGAGTGACCTTAAAGGTCACCCGACATCTGCTGGGATAGCCAATCAGGTTTTTCCATTCCGGTTGGGAAGGTAGTTTTTTTCATAAGGTAAAGAAACGTGATTGGTTATCTCATCATTTATTAGAGTGGTCTTTAGAGTCGTTCAGTGATTGGACTAAATGGGTTAGGTTTAAATACTCTGTAGGAAATACAGACTTTGATTTTGTCAAATAGAGTAACTCTATAGGGCCCCCTAAAAACCACCAAGATAATCAGTCAGGGTTTTTCATTTTGGCTAAAAATGTAGTATTTTCATAAAATGAAGAAACTTTACTGGTTACATAATTAGTGGTTAAGGATAGCTTATAATGTCACCTATGAAATCAAACTGGTAATAAAGACTGAACTTAGGACTTCTTCGAGTGACTTCAAAGGATATCTTGAAAACTTCCGAAATAACCAACCACGTTTCGGTATTTTGGCTGAGAATGTAGTTTTTCACTAAATACAGAAAAGCAATTGGTTCATTCAGCAAAGCATATTTCCAACCTTTACAGAACTGATATCTCGCCTCAGATTTGAATCCGCGTCACTTAGCTATTCAGGCCACGACCGACCTCTTGTAATACTGGATTAGACATATTGATTGGTCAGTGGATGGTAGCCAACTTCATATTATCTAGCCCTAAATACTGATCGAATTCTACTGTTCATTGATTTAATTGTTTATTAGCATGAAATAATAACCATCCGTGTCAATCACATCACATAAAGCTTAAATTTCAGCATACCAGTTACCGGTAGACAGTATCAAATTTACTGCCAAATTAAAATTACTAAACATATTAATTTGATGTATTAAAACAATGATAGTTATAACAAGTAGAATGATTATCAATGTTTCAAGGTCAACTCACCTCCTTGAAATAATTCAATACAGTATAACAAACCAATTTCTATTTCATCTAGGTTCAATGGTTTCAATAGTTTTTCTGTTAAACTAATTTGTTCACATAAAATTTTAAATAATGGCAAGTTATTTAAATTTATTTCATTTTGTAAATTGAAATAATTATATTCCTGAGAGAATTGAATTAATATAATTGGATAAATGCTTTGTTGAATAAGTATTTTCATATCGAATTCTGAAAGTTCTTGAAAATATGAAATTGATTGAGCAAATTGAATCACTTCATAAATATGATTTTCAAAATATTTCATTATATTGGACAATAGAATGTCAATATTTTGTTTAACTTCATTTGTAGACTGAAAACGTTGAGATATCTGTACAAAAATATAATAAGAATTGAAAATTATTGAATTGACAATACTTCACTGTATAAACATAGTCATAAAGTAAGCATATAAATGTCAGATTGTATTTCTGTCATAGGATAAGTACAATTCTTATTTTGTTAAAGAGTGACTTTAAGAGTTCCATCTTGAGTGCTGACAGAGTTGTGAGGGCGATTGATACTTTCCGACTGGCCACACCGTGGAAGGCTATTTCTGCTTAAAGTACCTAACCGCGGAGCCTATTGGATATTTGCTTGAGACCTGTCACACCCAGCCTTTTGTGTATGATTATTTTGAACTTTTGGGGCCGGATGATCGAAAAGAAACAACAAATAAACCAACACCGCCGGTCCAGCAGACCGTGGGGCATGGTGGAGTGTGTTATTTTTGGGGCCAACCTTTTCTAACCCCCCCCCCCTTCCATTGAGAAGGCAGCACCAGCATGGCACTGCTGGTCATCCAAGGGAAACACCTTACTCCTGTCACACCCCATCCAGCTAGCAGCAGTACGACTTCGCCCTCAGACCCCCATCACACTGTAGTAATTTACACCACAATGGTAACTGCTTTTCGTCTAACCACTATCCAACAAACCTTTCTGGTATCGTAAAACCTCGAGGGAACAAGTGTTCCACCAGCATAGCTCGTTGGGTCATTGTAATATGCAAGCCTGACCACCACGTCAAGGTAGCAGCTATCGGTCGAGGACTTTAAGAGTTACCCTAGTAACAACTGAAATAACCAATCAGGTTTGACTATTTGGACTGAAAGGTTCACTTTTTTATAAATTACAAAACTCTAATTGCTTACTTCGTTAGTTATTAAATTAGTCGCTAGAATAATCAAATCTTTTTCAGCTACTGAGTCAAACTTGGAAGAAATAATGAGGTTTTTTAAGGTCTTCTAAATACTTACTAAATAAAGAAACACATTTCACTATAGATTGTGTTTCTTTGTTTGGTGGGCACATTGGATGAGTAATTCACAGCACCTAAGTATTTTCCGTACACTAGAAGATAAAACTTTCTGTAGGCAGTTGGACTATACATATAGACATGAAGTTGACTGGCTGACTAACTGACAAAATCAACGTAGGACCTTATCCAGCATACAAGTGCATCAGTTCAAGTTGCCACACTTCATAGTAATTCAAAAAGAACAGGTGGATAGAAACAGGAGTGATACCAAGTAGTGTAAGAGAACTGACAGTTTGAAGGTAAAGGTTACTGCGAATATTGAAGTTTTAGATGATGTCAAGGAAATGCCATTGTCACGGATTTTCACCCATGTCACCAAAAATCCTCAACCATAGATTCCTATTGTCTCGATGATCACTGTCAGATAGTCTACATCTCCTCATTTAGCTCAGACTTCATCAATTGGTGCTACATCTTTGTCTGACCACCCTGAACCCTCTTCCAACCTAATTCTACTTCTCCTAGCATGGTACATCAAGGTTAGGCAGTGGCTTGGCATGTGTAGCATATGTCCAAGCCATCTCAGTCGACTAAGGTTGACAACCTCATCAATCAACTTGCCGTTGAAAGCCAAATGACCTTTGGAATGTACACCAATAATTCAGTCAAAAAATGTCGCTTAGCACTGATTCATGTAAGGCTGAATTGAGTGCGTAAATCATACATCAGATATTGTTAAGTATCTCTATATTCATTTGTCAAGTCAGTGCTTCTGTATGGCTCAGAAACCTGGCGTGTCACGAAAAGCATTTCCAACAAACTACAGATATTCATCAACAACTGCCTACACGGGCTGGTTACTGAAGGTCAAATGGATCTCCAGAAAGAATAAGCAACAAGGAACTCTGGCTGGTGACAAACCAACCAAGAAGCTATCGCTGAACAAATATGCAGAAAGAAGTGGAGATAGATTGGGCACTGAGAAGACCATTCGGGGACATCACACGTCAGGTTAGGCACTCGAGTGGAACCCAGATGGGAAATGACGAGTTGGGCGTTCGAGGTGAGGGTGACATAGAGGAGATCATGTGAGGAAGAAATGAAAGCTTGTAGGCAGTCGTGGCGCCAGTTTTAAAGGCTGCTGAGAAGAGAGTGCAATGGAGACGTGCTAAAGAAGCCGTGTGTTCCACTACGAACCCAATGGGAAAAAATAATAATAATCTATATTCGCTATGAAGTGTAATGACCCAATAAGGATCATCATATTTCCCTTTAGCTGTACCAGTCAGCTCCATATCAATTAATTCCTGAATATAAACATAATAAAAATAACATTTTATAAATTAGTAGGTGACTATCATGCCCCCTCTCGCCTATCTCACATTCTTTGTGCTTATTCTTAGTGAAGTTTTCTGTATCTCTGGTGGTATACAGGTGTTGCGTCATTCCCATTACATGTATTGGAAGTTGGCTGATTCGATGAACAAAGATTCAGTATTCAATCTCTGTCTCTCTCCACCTAATTATATTCGACCTCAGTACGGTGGTTTTATCCTACCCACCATAATGTGTGATTGTGTGTCAATCCTGGCATTCCATTAGCCCAGTGTTTTACACTTAAGAGGTAGAAAATGAGAACAAGGCAAATTACCTATGTTGGATTGCAGAGGAAAACGAAGAACACACACCAGTTTACATACTACCGTCTACAGATAACCGACACACTCACGTCATCTCATCCAATGTCAGTTAACACAGGTTTACTCAAATATTTAAATGACATCTAGAAAACTGACCAGTGAGTGCAAGGACCGAAACAGGGAACTGGAGCATATAAAAGAAGCACTAATGGTTAATAATTATCCCTTAGAATTTATGAAAAAAATTCATACGAGCACACAAGAAACGAAATAATAACAGTAACACAAGTACGAATAATAACGACAACACTAGTAGAAAGGAGTTCACAGCCTGCATTGTGTTACTCTATAACTAAGGTACATCAGAAACTCTATGTATGATTCTCAACAAGTCTGGAACTAGGGTGGCATTTAACCCTACCTGCAAAGTCACTCAGAGATAAGCTTCGTCCATTGGCTTAAGGATCTGATCGAACCAATCAGGCGAAATAATCTATTCTATCAAACTCCATGTGATAAATGTGAGTCAGGTGAAGCACGTAAGTGAAACTAGCTGGTCCGGAACTGTTAGAATAGCGTAACATAGGAATTTAGCTAAATGTAGAATGACAGACCCAAATAAGATCAATAATCTAGAAAGCAACTCGGCTGTTGCAATGCATGAGTTAACAACACACAACTACACAAAAGGGTGGATGGGATAAAACCAATATAATCAGGTGGAGTGACAGAGAGATTGATTACTGAATCTTTGTTCATCGAATCGGCTAAGCCGTAACACATATAATAGGGGTGACGAAACGCCTATAACAGAGCTGTGGGACGTTTTACTACCAATAAAGACAAAGAACATGAGATAGGTGATAGTGTAGTGGGCGTTGCTGATAAGAATGGATATAAGTAGTATATGTTGAGAGGGTGGCAGAAATCATAGGTAATTACCAGCAACTGGTAAGGATTCTGCCCACAGAACTGCAAAAGACAAGGCAGGCGTATGAAGAACAAATAAAGACAGGAACAGAAGAGAAAATGAAGCACATTTTGCAAATGACTGTCTTAGTGCAAGGTGTCCCGTATTAAACGACTACTGCACCACATGTTACTATGAGGCATTCCCTTCTTCGTCTATGCCTTGTCGTTTCCATCCAATAGGACTGTCTACGAAAACCAGATGTCAAAGGGAGTACACTTACATTGTTGTGATTATGATCAGTGATAATTTATGCTGGAAGCGTCATCAAGTAAATAATACTCTCTCAGTGTGTGTTATAAATCGAATCCAATATTGATAGTGCGAGCGTAGAAAACTGGTAGTTTTTGATCTCTCGCGTCTAGTTCTTAGGCCTTGGTTCAGTTGTTCGGTTCACTCCTGCAGTGGACGAGGAAATCCCCTCTGCTTTCTTGCTTTTAGCTTCGGTGAGGTGGATGTTTTGTGGGTTAGTAAGTTGTAATTTGTAGAGTGATTGGGGAGCTACGGGTTGCTGGGAAGTTTAGAGAACTGCCGTGACTCCTGTCTGTGTAGGTACCTGAAAGAGAATAGTAAGGTAGTGGTAAAAGAATGAAGAGAGAATAAAAAAGAGAAGAAAGAATAAAAGACAATAATATAGGGAAGAGAAAAGGGAAGGAGAAGAAAAGGAGAGGTGAAAAGAGAACGAAAGAAAAGTATTTGGGAATTGCCCGAATGGTCGCGTGGGTTTGGTTCCTACAGAAGAATTAGTAGGTAATGTGGGTGTATTAAGGAGGAGATAGTGAGTGGTAGTTAGGAGGGAGTTGGGGGTACTGAGGTTGGTGACTACCTGAGTACGTCCGTGGTAGTCCATGCGAGGTGACATAACTGTCTAATCGCCTCTTGAAAGAGTCGACTGAAGGAGCTATAACGATGTGTCGCGGTAAGGCATTCCATAAAGCACATACTCTTGGGGAGAAAAATTTGGACCTGAGTGTGGTGTTGGCTCTCTGGTGTGCTATCTTAATGGGGTTTCCTCGTGAAGATCGTTCAGTTGCAGGCAAAATTGATTTGTTTGCATGGTCTGCCTGATGGGCGATCTTGTATGCCATAATGAGGTCACCCCTTTTCCTGCGATAACCCAAGGTAAATAGGTTGAGGTGTTTAAGTCTTTCAGGATACGTCTTTCCCCTTAGCCCCACAACTGATTTTGTTGCAGTTCTTTGTATTCTTTCAAGGAGATTAGAGTCTCTCTTGAGTGTTGGAGGAGCCACCGTATTGAAGACCTCTAGGTGCGGCCGCACGTAGGATTTGAAAATGGTGAGGAAGAGTTCGGGAGTGAGGGCGCCAAGCTGTCTACGCAGAAAGTGTAGAATGGCGTTCGCTCTGGTTGTCATACCTTTGTAGTTGGAGCTGGTGTCCAAGGTGTCGGAGAAGTTGAGCCCCAAATCTTTCTCCATGGACACTCTGGTGATAGCACGGTTGCTCAACATGTACTGGAAGTCGGTCGTACTTGCCTCATTTTTACTGATGTGCATTACTTTGCACTTTTCCAGGTTGAAGCTCAGGCCATTTTCCGACGACCAGAGCTCGAGTTGCTGCAAGTCCTTTTGTAGTGCTGCACAATCGGCTTCTTCGTTTACCACCCTCCAAATTTTTATGTCGTCAGCGAAGAGGAGGATGGGTGAGGATATTTTGTCTGGCAGATCGTTGACAAACAGGAGGAACAGAAGCGGTCCTAGGATTGCTCCTTGGGATACTCCTGACGTCGAGGGTCTCCACTCCGACCTTATTCTGTTCACTTTAGTGCAGAACTGCCTCCCTTCCAGGTACTCCTTGAACCAAGAGAGTAGGGGTCCACTTATACCAGCTGACATGATCTTGTGAAGCAGTACTGTGGGTGGGACACTGTCAAATGCTTTGGCTAGGTCGAGAAATACAACATGTACAGGTTTTCTATTATCCCAGCTTTGTGTCCAGTCGTCCCAGGCGGTTAGTAAGTTGGTGGCACATGAGCGACCACTACGAAAGCCGTGCTGAGCAGTGTGGACAGTGTTTTCCTATTGAGGAATTCCCAGATGGTGTCAGCTACCAGGCTTTCCAACACTTTCGACACAATAGGGAGTAGGGCAATCGGCCTGTAGCTGCCAGGGCTTTTTCTGTCTCCTCCCTTGAAGATGGGTGACAAGATGGCACTCTTCCATTCTTTAGGGAGTTTGCACGAGTCTATTGAGTGCTCAAAGAGGTTGCGAAGTGGTTTAGTAAGCACCTCGGCGCAGTTTTTCAGAACCACTGGTTTCAGGTTATCGCAGCCAGGGGACTTGCCCGGACGTAGCCTAGATAGCTTCTCGAACACCTTTTTCTCTGTAATAGAGACGTGACAGAGGTATTCGTTATTTGCGACCTGGTCGGTGTCGTGGCGAGTCGGTGTGGATCTTGTGTCAGTGCTGAGTTGGGCTTGGAAGTGTGAGCTCAAAAGCTCGGCAATCTCTAGACTGCTTAGCACACTCCCGTCATGGCCTGTGACAAGATTCACTCCCTTACTGGTCGACTTTCTTCTTGACATGAAGCGGTACAGGTTTTTGGGGTTGCTTTGTAACCTCGCTGCCAAGTTTGTTTGGTAGGAAAATCTGTCGTTACGCACTCTAATGTTACAGAGATTGCGAATCCTTTTGTAGTTCAAGAAGTCAGACTCCCTGCGTGATGTACGCCACTTGAACCAAGCCTGCTTCTTGCTCCGGATAAGCCTCTCTGTCCCACGCTTTAACCATGAGGTTCTCATTGATTGTCTGTGTGTTACTTCTGGTACACTGTGACTGATGGCCCCAGTGATTATTTTCTTCACCTCCAACCAGTGTTCATCTATTGTGAGATGAGTCCAGTCCACTGGCCATGATGCATTCATGAGGTAGTCCCTCATGGTCTCATAGTTGGCCTTGCTGTAGCAAGGGAAGGTGTTGGGCGTCTCCAGTTGCAGAGCCTCCCTAGTTATCATGGAGAAGGTGATTACAGCGTGGTCACTGAGGCCAAGGGGAGGTTGGATGCAAACATCCTCAATGAGAAGTTCATCGTTCGTCAGAACGTAGTCAAGGCGCGATGCGTTTCCGTTAGGTCCCCAGCGTGTAGCATCACCCACTTTCTCTGAGAGGCCAGCAGTCTTAATTGCATCCTTCAGCTTCTGATTGAAGGATCTGATGCGTCTCCCTTCCGTCTCGAAGAGGATGGACGGGGTGTTGAAGTCGCCGGCAATGACTACGGAATCGTAATTTGCAGAGGAAGTCGTTAAGATAGCCTTGATGATCATTTCCTTATGTGTAGGGGAGCTGGTGGGGGACCGATATATGACTCCGAGCAGGTATTTGGTACTGTGGAGAGTGAAGTAGCACCATAGGGACTCTGGGAGCTGGGTTAAGGCCGTATCGCTAACCATCCTTGCCTTTAAACAGAGTTTACGTAGATAGCCACTCCCCTCCTGCTCTATGTTCCCTGTCCCTGCGGAAGAGTTCCATGCCAGATGTCTGGCGAGAGCCAGGATTCGGTGATGAATATGATGTCGGAGTGCTGATGTGCACGCAGCGTCCTCATTTCTGCTACCTTCCCTCTTAGCCCCCTAACGTTGCTGTACATACATATTAGAGTGTGCCTGGTGAGGGGGGAGGTCTGGTTGTGTATTTTCGCAGGATGAGAGCTTATGTGGTTGGGTCTACCCTCGCCAGTCCTC